TAACAGTGTGCATGACCACCATCTATCACCATTTATCACCGATCACCATCCACTACCATCCATGACCGCCCGTGACCAGCCACGACCATCCATGAACATCCAACAAGAGGCAAAGACTGAAGGTCTTTGGAAAAACACCATTATGAAATGACAATTTGCACGCTGTAATGTTGGTTCCTGATTAGTGTGAGGCCCCCCCCTCCCCCCCCCTCCCCCCAAACAATATTTGGACTCTCTTTAAGGTGGAAAGTCAATTTTTTCTTCCCAAGAGAAAAGCAAATCCTCACTTAAGTAAGGATTTCAATTGGCTACAATTGAAATCTAATTAAAACTGCTTTTTGCCGATGAACTTGTGGTACTTGTAGTACTTGTAGTACTGGTAGTACCTGTAGTACTAGTAGTAATTACTTGTAGTACTTGTAGTACGTGTAGTACTTGTAGTGCTTGTAGTATTTGTAGTACCTGTAGTACTTGTAGTACTTGTAGTACCTGTAGTACTTGCAGTACCTGTAGTACTTGCAGTACTTGTAGTACTTGTAGTACCTGTAGTACTTGTAGTACTTGCAGTTGTAGTACCTGTAGTACTTGTTGTACTTGTAGTACCTGTAGTACTTGTAGTACTTGTAGTACTTGTAGTACCTGTAGTACCTGTAGTACTTGTAGTACTTGTAGTACCTGTAGTACTTGTAGTACCCACAGCTTGCACAGCTTGCTACAATAGTGAACCCAGCAAGCAAACCTACTAAAGTGAAATGGAGCCTCTCCGGGGCCAGGGCCTTGGAAAATTCTGGAAAAGCTGTTCTTTAATAAGGGTTTAATAAGGGATTTGCTCCTTTGGGAAAGGCTTGGAGTTTGAATTTGGCAATTGCTTTTGGAAAAGGCTTGCTTCTCTTTTGGGCTTCCAGGAGCTGCTCTGGCACAGCTTGCCACAATAGTGAACCCAGCAAACAAACCTAAATTGTGGAAAAGTTTTTCTTTAATAATGGTTTAATAAGGGATTGGCCCCTTTGGGAAAGGCTTGGGGTTTGAATTTGGCAATTGCTTTTGGAAAAGGCTTGCTTCTCTTTTGGGCTTCCAGGAGCTGCTCTGGCACAGCTTGCTACAATAGTGAACCCAGCAAACAAACCTACTAAAGTGAAACGGAGCCTCCCCTGGTCCAGGGCCTTGGAAAATTGTGGAAAAAACTGTTTTTTAATAAGGGTTTAATAAGGGATTTGCTCCTTTGGGAAAGGCTTGGAGTTTGAATTTGGCAATTGCTTTTGGAAAAAACGTCTTCCTCTCAGCAATTACAGGTTGTTTTTTCCAAAAAAATATCCAATTTTTTTTGCCACAAAAGTGAACCCTCCAAACAATACATGGGTTTCAGAATAATTTGGAGAAAATTTGCCACAATAGCGAACCTAGCTACTAATCAGGAGCCAACATTAAGATACCTACGCAGCTTGGGACCAGCATTTCAGAAAGGCTGCCCCTGGCCAATGTGTCCCCGACGGACCCCCAGCAGACATTAAACGATTAAACGACACCCTAAAGAAACCTTTAAAAAAACCCTAAAAGAAACACCAAAGAAAGCCTAAATGAAACCTTAAAATAACACCGAAAGAAAACCGTAAAGGAACCCGAAATGAAACCCTAAAGAAAACTTAAAAAACCCTACAGAAACCCTAAAGCCGAAAGAAACCCTAAATAAAACCCTAAAACCTAAAGAAACCTTAGATGAAACCTTAAAAAAAAAATAAACTAAATTTTAAAGAAACCTTAAAAAGACCCTAAATGACATTCCAGAGAAACCAAAAACGACACCCTAAAGAAACCCTAAAATGAAACCCTAAAGAAACCCTGAATCAAACGCTAAAGAAACCCTAAATAAAATTTTCATAATGAAACCCTAAACCCTCAAGAACCCTAGAAGAAACCCTAAAGAATCTTTGAAACCACGGAAAGACCATTGAAGACGATCAAGAAAGCGATGAAAACCATCCAGACATCGTTGAAAACCCATGGGAAAATGGGTGAAGGTGAATTTAAAATGTTGCAATTATCGGGCAAATTTACGATTTATTTACCCAAATTTGCGACTTCAGTTCCGAAATGCTGCAAATAGCATGCAGGATGAGAGATGTTAGTTCAAAAACGCAGCAAATAGCAGGCAAATCAGAGAGATTTTGGTTCCAAAATGCAGCAAGTAGCACGCAAATCAGAGATTTTAGCCCCAAAATGTAGCAAATAGCAACGAAAACTGCCCCAGATTGAAAAAAAAATCATCGCCCCTTAAATTCTATGTATGTAGTTCTGCAAGGAATTGAGTCTGTTACATGTATAAGGGTATATATTACATACATCATTCCCTTTGGGGAGTAGCAACCCTGGATGTCTGAAGCTCCTGAACTGGAAAATTTGACTTTGTATTGAAAAAAAATAGTTTTTCAAACTCACCTAAGGGTACGTACCCCCACGACTGGTCCCGTAGAAAAATGATAAATTCTATTTGGCAATGAAAACCAATGGAATTAGGTGGTGTTCCTCGGATGAATCTTCCCTTGGGACTTCTATTCTATGTATGTAGTTCTGCAAAGAAGTGAGTCTCTTACATGTTTTAGGGTGTGTATGACAACGGGGGGATGAATAAAAACAAAATTCTACACAGAAATGTTGGGAGTGTTCGCATAAAAAATGGTATAAAAAACTGTTAGGAGTGTTCCCATGAAAGTTGGTTGGGTCAGCAAATACGATACATCAATGATTCAATGTTCGTGATTTTTTTTCTTCTGGGGTTGGCGGCAGGGACGGGAACCCTTAAGGACATGAGGTGTAAGTTTGATGTAAATTTGCATCAAAGTTGCAGTTTTTGATGTGTAAGTTTACATCAAATTTACACTAACACTAAACTTACACATCATAAGTATAAGTATAAGTTTACATCAAACTTACATGTCAACACTGTAAATTTTTATCAAACTTACACGCAAAAGTGTAAGCTTATACTTGTAAACGTAAGTTTGGTGTAAGCTGACACCTCAAACATGTAAGTGTTCATCAAATTTACACTTGTGCATGTAAGTTTACATCAACGTTACACTCCTGATATGTAAATTTAGTGTAGGTTTGATGTAAACTCACACCTCAAAACTGTAAGTTTGATAAAAACTTACACCTCATGTCCTTAAACATCACTGAAAATCAGAATGTGTTCACAGCAAAATGTTTTTTTTCACGGAACACATTGTTTTTATACACAAAAGATGTTTATTTTCAACTGCCCAATTTAGATGTACAGTATAGCTATGGAGGTAGCCTTGCTGGGCCTCCTCAAAGTTGTGAAAGGCACTCAGCGCCAATGACGTAGCCAAATGCAGCCTTGCTATAGTGTACCCAGTATTATAAACCCTTATACATGGAAAAGATCCAATCCCTTGCAGAACTACATACATAGAATATCATAGAATATAGGTCCCCAGTGAAAATATTCATCCATTTTTTCAGGAACACCGCCTAATTCCATTGGTTTTCATTATTTTCCATTGCAACATAGTTTCGTTTTAATAGTCCTTCGACACCGGTCGTGGGGGGCACCCTTCGGTGAGCTTGAACAATTTTGTGAGGGATTCTATTGTGTTCTGGTGGACTCTAGTGGGGTGAAAAATTTGAAAAATATCCATTTATGATCATTTATGCTGCAGCACGGGTTATATGTTGATAATTCAAACGATTTTAGTGGGGTGAAAATTAAAAAATGATCATTTATGTCCATTTAGGCCGCAGCACGGATGATATTTTGATAATTCAAAGGATTTTGGTGTGGTGAAAATTTGAAATCTGTCCATTTATGTCCATTTATGCTGCAGTATGAGTGATATTTTGATAATCCAAAGGATTTTAGTGAGATGACAATTTGAACAATGTCCACTTATGTCCATTTATGCTGCAGTACGGGTGAAAATTTGATAATTCAAAAAAAAAAACATCTTCCAGAATTAAAATTATTCTATGTACACTCCTGTGATATTCTATGTACACCGTTTTTTTTTCAATTCTGGAAGATGCCCCAAAACCTGTTTTTCAAAATTCAGTATTCTATGTTCTCGTACTTTCTTTTATATATTAGATGTCTATTAGATGTATAAAGGTGTTAAACATGTATAATATACATGTATCTAGATGCACAACGATGCATATAGATGTATATAGTAGTTATATGTAGTATTATGCAACTACAAAATGACAATAATGTCATATCATCCTTACCACAAAGTACGATTATCATTTTATAACAGGCAGGCCGCCTGCAGGTAGTAAGTTGTTTTGGTTTCTTATATTATGCTTATTGTTGCAGCAGTGACCTGAATCACTATTTGCCATTTTATAATGTTTCAAAAGCTTATTGCATGCGTGCAAGATTCATGTTTGTTTTTATTGAATATCCATTATATAAGGTACACTTACTTTGCAAATCTTTGCAATATAAACAATTTCTTTTGATAATTACAGGTTTTACCAGCACAAACTGAGAAAAACATACCCGGAGAATCCCGGAGAAATCAGGTTTGCACAGTTTTGGTTCTTATAGAATGCCCTGGAGGTGCCTTATAGAATGACAGTTTGTCACTTTCAGTATAAATCTCTGATATTCTCTGATAATTTGTGAAATTTCCACTCCCACCTTATAAAATGTATATCGGGTAATCACCAAAAAAGTAAATTGTCTGGGCCACGATCTATAAGCCGTTTTTTTGGACTCTGGTCTATCATATTATAAGAATGCGTTTTTTCTTATAAAATGCTAATTGGAGTTCCCTATATTGCTTCTCCTGAATTATATGCATTCTATAAGGAATTTTTCCCGTGGAACTCCCATTTCATAAGGAATTTCTTATAAAATGGCGCCCCCCGGGTTCAACTTAATATTATAAGGGGGATTATATATATATGTATGAACAAGCTGTCTCTTCAAATCCCCTTTATCCGTACATTTTGAATATCTTTTTGCCCACTCTTCCGGCCAGGCGATCTGAGATCCCCCTGAATGACTGGCTGCAACGCCACGCGCAGAATGTCGTCAAAGTACCCCTGCGCTATGCTGTCAACAGCGCCAGAGCCTGCACTGTCGGGGGAAGTTGTCTGGTTCCATGTGGTATAACCTCTGGTAATTTAACATAGCTATTGAAACTTGCCATTTATAGGTTATTTTCCAGAGTTATGTTAGTTTTAACAGAGGGTACCCCACATGGAAAATGGCAATCTTTGGATTCCCTTTCAGATGTCGGGGTCCGAAAATGGGTACTGTATACCCCAGTGGCGATTGAACGACAGAGAACATGAAGATTAACTACGGGATTCAGGGTACCCATACAGTTTAGACAAACAGATTGAAAGTTTGTACCTGTTTGTGTTTTTGTGAAGATCTTTCGGCTTTGCCCAGTAGTGAGGAAGGTGTAAATGTTGACGAATGTCCGGTGCACAACATGGCTATGTGGATCCATCATCTGACAAAGGTGCAGGTGAAACTGATGAGGTCGACCTTCAGGTGCTGTGCTTGGGTGGAGAAGGAGTGGCATTAAGCGTCCCTCGCTCTATGCTTGGGTACGACCTGCGCAGGTTGGTGTCAGAGAAACTTCCATGCAAGCCCGGCGCAAAGCTCGCCGTGCATCATGTGAATGGAAAGTTGACACTCGATCAAACCTTGGGAGAGCAAGGAATTGTTGGAAAACCGGCAATGCTGTCCTGCACTTACATACCAACGAATCTTTGCACTGCATGGAATTATGTCTGTGGGCTCCCAACTAGTGAGAGAGAGTTTGCGATGGAAGGTGTTACGCAACTTGAAGGAGCAACAACTGGAGAGTATTTACATAATCTCCCCTGCAGCCTTGCAAGCTTGATTTTTGACCATGACTTCAACCAAAGCCTGGAACGGGTGACCTTGCCATCAAGTCTCCAAAACTTGAATTTTGGTTTTGGCAATGAATTCAACCAAAGCCTGGAGCGGGTGACCTTGCCATCAAGTCTCCAAAGCTTGAGTTTCGGCTGGAATTTCGACCAAAGCCTGGAGCGGGTGACCTTGCCGTCGAGTCTTCAAAGCTTGAGTTTGGGCGGCTTCAACCACAGCCTAGAGCGGGTGACCTTGCCATCGAGTCTTCAAAGCTTGAGTTTTGGTAAGAATTTTAGCCAAAGCCTGGAGCGGGTGACCTTGCCATCGAGTCTTCAAAGCTTGAGTTTTGGCCATGGGTTCAACCAAAGCCTGGAGCGGGTGACCTTGCCATCGAGTCTTCAAAGCTTGAGTTTTGGCGATCTATTCAACCAAAGCCTGGAGCGGGTGACCTTGCCATCGAGCCTTCAAAGCTTGAGTTTTGATGGGAATTTCAACCAGACCCTGGAGCGGGTGACCTTGCCATCGAGTCTTCAAAGCTTGAGTTTGTGCTATTACTTCAACCAAAGCCTGGAGAGGATGGCCTTGCCATCAAGTCTCCAAAGCTTGAGTTTTGGTATTCAATTCAACCAAAGCCTGGAACAGGTGACCTTGCCATCGAGTGTCCAAAGCTTGAGTTTCGGCTTTGGCTTCAACCAAAGCCTGGAGAGGGTGACCTTGCCATCGAGCCTTCAAAGCTTGAGTTTTGGCGATGGGTTCAACCAAAGCCTGGAGCGGGTGACCTTGCCATCGAGTCTTCAAAGCTTGAGTTTTGGCGATCTATTCAACCAAAGCCTGGAGCGGGTGACCTTGCCATCGAGCCTTCAAAGCTTGAGTTTTGATGGGAATTTCAACCAAAGCCTGGAGCAGGTGACCTTGCCATCAAGTCTCCAAAGCTTGAGTTTCGGCGAGGATTTCAACCAAAGAATGGAGCCGGTGACCTTGCCATCGAGTCTGCAAAGCTTGAGTTTTGGTGGGGGTTTCAACCAAAGCCTGGAGCGGGTGACCTTGCCATCAAGTCTCCAAAGCTTGAGTTTTGGCCATGACTTCAACCAAAGCCTGGAGCGGGTGACCTTGCCGTCGAGTCTTCAAAGCTTGAGTTGTGGTGATGATTTCAATCAAAGCCTGGAGCGGGTGATTTTGCCATCGAGTCTGCAAAGCTTGAGTCTTGGTGAGAATTTCAACCAAAGCCTGGAGGGGGTGACCTTGCCATCGAGTCTTCAAAGCTTGAGTTTTGGCCATGACTTCAACCAAAGCCTGGAGCGGGTGACCTTGCCATCGAGCCTTCAAAGCTTGAGTTTTGGCTGGACCTTCAACCAAAGCCTGGAGCAGGTGACCTTGCCATCAAGTCTCCAAAGCTTGAGTTTTGGCGATGGGTTCAACCAAAGCCTGGAGCGGGTGACCTTGCCATCGAGTCTTCAAAGCTTGAGTTTTGGCGATCTATTCAACCAAAGCCTGGAGCGGGTGACCTTGCCATCGAGTCTTCAAAGCTTGAGTTTTGGCCATGACTTCAACCAAAGCCTGGAGCGGGTGACCTTGCCATCGAGCCTTCAAAGCTTGAGTTTTGGCTGGACCTTCAACCAAAGCCTGGAGCAGGTGACCTTGCCATCAAGTCTCCAAAGCTTGAGTTTCGGCGAGGATTTCAACCAAAGAATGGAGCAGGTGACCTTGCCATCGAGTCTGCAAAGCTTGAGTTTTGGTGGGGGTTTCAACCAAAGCCTGGAGCGGGTGACCTTGCCATCAAGTCTCCAAAGCTTGAGTTTTGGCCATGACTTCAACCAAAGCCTGGAGCGGGTGACCTTGCCGTCGAGTCTTCAAAGGTTCAGGGCTCGGAATGATCGGCTTTGCGTTTATGTCATGATCTCTGTCAGTTCACCAGCTCCGGGGTAGGTTGTTTGACACATTTGTGAATATTTCCCAATTGCAGATTTGTAAGAAAAAGAGGCTTGCTTTCCCAAGGGTGCATGAGGCGACCAACCTCTGTGCTTGAAGTGACCCCAACATTCTTTTCTTTGTGGGTAAATACTCGCAGTTGTGGGTAAAGATATGGAATCCATATTGGTTGGAGGATATTCAATAACTGGGATATGCGATCCCCGAGATTCGAATTACAATCCGTCGCAGATGGTCGGGGCATTGCTTCTACAGTACCAGTCTTTCTGATGGGGCCAGCGGTGAGCCAAAACACGGAAGAATTGCAATCAAAATCAATCAAACATGGTGTTCCAACCAACACAAATGCTGGAGAAAAAGAATAGCACGGAAACACCATGATACAGCCCACTATGATCAACAAATAGGCATACAACTGACCAAAAGAATACAAGTGACCGAACGGGATATGACGAGACATTGTGAAAATCGGGGACCGCTAAATCCGCGTACTACATCCCCGTTGGTATAGATTGCATACCTAGAACAAAAGATCATGCTTTATGTTTACTTTCTGACATCCCTCCTTGAATAATATCATCTTAAGCCATCTTAAGCCATTAAATTCGTTTGGGTGTTTTCCAATGTTCAGACCCAGGACGTTTCGGAGTTTGGCAGCTTGGAGGTTTGTCAAAATGCCGAGGCAACCCCCTGGTGTCAGCCACCAAAGCAGAAGCGGAAGGGACATTGCAGCGCTTGGAGCAGCTTCTGGGATAGTGAGGGGCATGGCAGCGGTCAGCAGGAACCCCCAACCCAACATGGGGTATATAAGTATATACGCAGCCAAAATGGAAACTCTTGTTGGAACCTGTGTCATGGAACTTTGAGCAAGAAAGAAAGGGGAGGCGGAAACGTGGAAACTGAGGCAAGAGCTGGTGTCCCTTCATTTTCCATCCAGAAACCATCTCAAAAGTGCTGGATGTCCTGCTTCCATGTCAGTTTACAGTTTACAGCAGGGTCGCCATTCTACCCAGGAAAAAAACTGAATAGCACCGAAAAGCACACAAAGGCAGACAATTTTGAGGAACTCAGGGCCGGTTACATATTTGATGGCTGTGGACATTTCACCTCTGTATGGTCTCACCATCAATGGGTGGTGGTGGTGGCGTACATGGCCAGCAAGCCCTGGAAACTGTATAAACTGTATATTCAAAGAGGTATCCACACTTTAAGACAGCCCTCGATGTCATTTCAAGTATTTTGCATCTCCCATTTGATCCAATTTCCCCCTTTCGAACCCTCATTTTTGGTTGGTCACGAACGGCATTTTCTTTGGTGAAATTCCTATCTTGCTTAGTCATTATATCACATGATATCCCCATTATTCACCCTGTTTATCAGTATATGGTATATAACATGTATTTCGATTATTTTCTACCAAGGTGATAATTCTTATCCCCAGTATATCGCAGATGATTCACCTCAGTATATCACTAGGCTGCTGCACATCTTCTACGACCTGCAGCGCTCACCCGATGGCCTCTGTGCCAGCACCAGGCCTTCGACGGAGACGGGGGTCTAACCAGCATATGTGTCATGATCCAAAGATGGACTATGTAGCCATATTGGGGGATGGCCATCCATCCATTTATAGGGCTTTGTTGCACTCATTGACAGGAATCCAAAATGATGGTGGGATGACCATTGCCCATAAAGCACATATGGGGCTTTAAGTGACAGAAAAGGGTGTTGAATTAGCAGCAATGGGGATCACCTAGCAGAAATAGAACACAGACATGGGGGGAACATAAAATCAGCAGAAATGAGGTTTCTAACCAGAATGGGAACTTAACCAGCAGAAATGGGGATTGAACTAGTGGAAAAATTGGTTTTATGAACAGAAATAGGGGTTAGACCCAAGTATGTTAGTTGCGTTTGAAACATCACTTTAATGGATGACTCTTGAAGATTCTCAATGAATGGCCGGGGCGCGTGTGCAACTACTGTGTGTGGGTTGGGTGATGTTCCAATGGAACATTTGAACACCTCTTTGAAGGGGTCTGCAGCGACAAGGGGTTGGCAGGTTGGACCTCTGCTTTGAACCAACTAGAAATGCGAAATGGATGTCATTTTAGTCATATATGTATATATATATATACACTTTTATACATATATATATACATCTACATATATATATACTTATACATATCTATCTATCTATATATATATATATTTATACATATATATATATTTATACACACACATATATTTCTACATATATATATATTTCTACATATATATATTTCTACATATATATATATATTTCTACATATATATTTCTACACATATATATATACATATTTATACATATATATTTATACATGTATATATATATACATATATATATATACAAACGTATATATGGTGGTGCAATGGTGGCTAACCTGCTCCCAAGCAAGGCGTTTCCTGAGAACTCCGGTGGTCGGCTCGCTGAATCAACTTCGCGCGGAGCTGCTGTTACGCTACAGCGCCAAGCACTACTGGGTTGCTTGGATTTTATTGGGATAAACATTTATATAACCAAAATTGGGATTTATATATATATGTTTTTATCCAACAAAAATGGTATAAACAAACTACTGGGTGGCTTATCGCTACTGGGTTTTAACTCAGAAAAATGGTGTTATAATGGGGGATCCAATGGGGATAAGGGGTACAAAATTCCATCCTTTGAGATGAGAGGTACATTTCCAGCATTTGCAAAGCACCATCTAGGCATTGCTCGAATGGCTTGAAAATCGCATCCTTCGGACCATTGCAGCACCATATCCATATTATATACCGATGCCTCCTCCAGGTCTTGATTCCTGCCCATTGTTTTTGATGCATCCCCATGCTTGGTGCTTCAAAGTTCAAGCCATTTTTTCCCTGGTTCGAACCCCCATTTTGTAGGTAGCCAATGCTTTGTTGATTTAATCCGCATGTTTGATGGTTATTTCCTGGTTTTTGGTGCTTAACTCCGACTTTTTGATGGTGTTTGTTGGATAAATCATGTGAAATCCACATGGTTTGATGGTTTTTGTTTGTTTAAAGTCTACCTTTTCCCTGGTTAAAACCCACAGTTTTAGTAGTTTTTGTTGCAAAAAGTCCACATTTTCCTGGGTTTCTGTTGGGTTAAATCCAGTTTCAGTAAAGTGTGGCGGATTGGCCGGCCGTGTTCAGGTCCGCACGGCCGGGCGCAAGATCGACGCGGTCTTCATCTCCGCTAGGGGCGAATCGGAAGCCCTGGCAGAGGCCGAAATGGTTCAAACGGCAAAAACATGGTGGATCTGAGCGATTTCACCAACCAAAAAGGGGACTTCACCAGCCAAATTGGGGGTTTCACTAAACAGAAATGAGAATTTAAGCAAGATATATATTTTTTTAAATATAGATTAAGTAGCAAAAATCGGGATGGGAAGGTAATAGGAGTTGAGCAGCAATGATGGGTTATAAGTTGTGGTAAATATTTGGGATTGAGCAGTAAGCAAAATCATCTTTGATGGGTTTTGTAAGGGATTTCACCATTCAAATTTACAAAAGCTGCCGATCCAATTCATAAGTAATGGTTGATTGATGGTTCATTGCTTATCATCTAAATAAGTGGGTCGTATCACCCGGTTTATTGAAGATTATCATGGCCCATTGTGGGAACCCAGCCATCATTCAACCAGTGGCAAGACATGACAGAGGGTTTTCAAAGCCTTACCATGGATGATTGTTAGTGAGGGAATTCACAAAACAAACAAACATATCAGGTTTGTCGAATATCACTATATACTTCTTCTCGGATGGGTAGTTGTTGGATTTCACTACCACACACGTGGATTTGACCGATTTCACCAATGAAACTTTGGATTATAATGATTATAGCTCCATAAAAGTGGAAAAACATGCATCCTGAATCAGCCATTTGGCCGCACTTAGATGTTCATCCCAGTTGGCATGGGATCAGCTCCAGCTGTGCGGCCAGGAGAGTCCGGAAGTCAAGGAAGACGCCCCGTTGAAGGTCAGCAGTGCGAAGGGATTGGACCAGCAGTCACTGCAGAAATTTTGACTCGAGCATCAGACATGGGCATTTTGCGACGTTTATTTAACCAACAAAAAAATAAAGAGATGAGATTTGAACACCCACTCGGATGATGTATCTAGGTGAAAAAAGCAGCACCTCACTGACCGACGCAGAGTCACCTTCTTTCAGGTTTGCGAATTGTTCCAAATGGATGTGTGAGTCCTTTGCATGTTTTGATATTTGCACACATGCACAAATCATGTGAAATATGTTTTGAGGATTTATAGCGACCAACTAGACGGTGATATTGGGGAATGAATACAGGAAATGAACCTAAATCGGGACTTCTCAAACACCTTTTCCAGACGTGTGATTGACATCCTTGAAATCTCCTTACCCTTTGGCAATTTAACATAGCTATATACGGACAATCACTTTTTTTTGCTAAATCATCTACACTCACGGGTCATTTTCCATAAATAATGGTGAGTTGATAATGGGTAGTTGATCATGCGATGGGAAATCAAACCATGATAATTGACGGTTAGCAGTATCCCCATTGAGGTTTGTCATGATATCCCCACTATCTTCCCTATTAACTCCCCATTTTCCAGCAATATCCCCGAGTATGTGTTGCTTGTATCCCCATGTTATGCCCATGCTATGTACCAGTGAAGAGGACCTGGAACAACCGCGCGGTCCTGTGGTGGTGTGGTGCAACCCCAACGCTGCCTACTACGAGCCTTGGCCGAAGGTCAAGGCTGTGGGAACGAGAATTGGATGACGGGAACATTTATATACAGGGAACCTCTATATTTGGGCTTTGGGCATATTATGGTTTCCTGTAGATGTTACCTGAAGCCAATCCATTGACAATACCTGGCCAAACATACCTTTTGTGTTGGTTCAATTCTCATGTTAAATGGTTTAATCAAATCCCAATTTTTATGGTCGAGTCCCAACTTTTGGATGCCAAGGCTGCGGCGATCCCTGCCACCACCCAGCGCCTCAGGAAACCATGGCATACGAATCCCATTGGTTGGATTTCTACCTCAACCAGGCACAGCAGGGAAATTGAGGTTTGCATGGGATAGAATGGGGATATGTGGGGGAGACTGCTATAGAATCATGAGAATTTCATATTGTTCCAATAGGATAAACGTGGTTTGTACTTGAGGGTTCCAGCGAAGAAGTGGGTATGCTGATGTAGATGGCCGTACTTGCAGGGGATACATCTCCAATTTGGGATGTTTTTTACACCCAACACATACCAACCATTTCTGGCATGTCATGAGGAATGGTTTGTGGTTTTAGGTTTGCCACATTAAGCCCATCTTGAAGCTAGGTCAATAAACTCCTCATTTCTACTGCATAGACCTTGGTGATGTGAACCTACAGGGTACCATCCAAGGACGCCATCGAAACCTTTGAACTGGGTATGTGCAACAGCAAACTCACTTTTCGAACCAGATCAACCAGGATATTTTCCAGCCAGATGGGATATGAGCCATCAACTGGTTATATCATGTTTTATCTACAGTAGATTCTATATAATTTATATAATCATAAGCTATAACCCAACTGATCATAAAGGCCTACCGTATATCCTTTTCAATGATTTTCACAGCAGTGAAATGAACGCTGGCGGAAGCCCGGCCAGGGCTGCAGCATTTTCGTTTTCAACTACAGTGGCTTTGGACGTTCCCAGGGCCATCCAAGTCCAGGCGCCTGGGGCCCCCTGGGGTCTTCGTCTCATATTGTTGGTGACAGCCTATAGATATCTATAGATCATATTCCCATGAATATCTTTTAAATATCCAATAAAATTGTTGGTTTTCATCATTTCTTCTAGCATTTACCCAAAGTTCGTGTTCCCAATCATTCAGTTCCACCATTTTTCCCAACCGTTTTTTTTTTTTCTCTCTCTCTCTCTCTTTCTCTCTCTTTTTGACAATGTTCTCATTTTTAATGGTTGGTTATACCCCATTTCTCTGTCATCCCGATTACATCCCCAGTATATCCATGTTGGGATCCCCATTATATCCCCCATAAAATGAATATTTCTTGGCGTTTCCTCAACTGTTTCTTTTCCAAACCTAGATATTGTTGGGTGTATATAAGTTATATGTGTATATATATAATATACATATCCCATATCCAATTATATCCCCATGAATCTCCCATCCCAGTACATCCCATGATATGCCATGATATTCCATGTTCCCCACTAAATCCCCGTTAATGTCCCCAACATCCCCAGGTAGGTTTCTGGCCTTGTCTTTGCCACATGATATAAATCCCCAAGACATGATCTTCCCATTACTTCCCTATAAAATCCCCATGAAATCCCTATTTTTTGGTCACTTTAATCATGAAAATCCATGAAGATCCACCATCATTCATGTTTTGTTTAATCCCAATTTTTCACTTTTGTCTTTGCCCACCACGGCTACGCCATCGGCGCTCCGGAGGTCGCCTCAGCGCGGACGGCGATGCGGTGGTGGACTTCTTGAGACGCAGAGGCTTCACCCAGGCGTGTGCCGTTGTCTGATACCTATGGGTACCTATGGGTACCTATGGGTACCTCTAAATCTGGTGGTTAATCGCACCACTTTTTTCTGAACATGGAAACTTGGAGGTATACTGTAACACATATTTTGATGGCGAATCATCATTTCCCCTAAATGGCTATTTGGGGGAGCACATTGACAGACCCGTATGAATGGTAAATAAGCCCATAATGTGAACCATGGTTTATTCATAATGTTCTATAACCATTCTGAAATGGTAAAAATGGTCCATTATTACTGGTCAACTATAGTGGTTAGTTGAGAATCGTTAGTTGATAATGGTGAGTTGATGATTGGATGTGAAATTAAAGCATTGTTTCATTTATTGATGATCAATTAACCAATATGATTAGTTGATAATGTTGATCGAAGGAAGTTTAGAAGTCAAACTTCTGGCAATATGGACAGATGAAAAGCAGAGATGGGAAGAGTCAGAGAGAAGAGAAGAGTAGAAGAGAGAAGATCAGAGAAGAGAAATAGTCAGAAGAAAGAAGATGCAGGTACGCGAAAAGGTAGGAAAGTCGCGAAACACGGTGTTTTTCCAATGATTTATGGCTCCGGAGGGTCGACAAGTAGGCTCGCTAAAGCGGCGGGTGCGGAGCCATCTGGCCAGATGAGAGATGAAAAATTGTACGCCGTTGTGGGGCGAAGCACATTTCGAAGTCAAAATGTACAAAGCACACCATTCTCGGACCATTTTTGGAAGTTGAGATGTCGAAAAAGTGCACGCCGTTGTGGCGCGAAGCACATTTCCAAGTCGAAACGAGATGTCGAAAAAGTGCACGCCGTTGTGGCGCGAAGCACATTTCGAAGTCAAAATGTACAAAGCACCACATGTACGCGCCACTTTTGGAGGTTCAGATGTCGTTTCGCGTGGCAGGCGCAAGGGATTGTGCACCTTCTCAAAAGTGAGGGTTTTGTAGCATTTCCAAAAACGATGGCAGGCGTGGAACATTTGAAGAGGATCTGCAAAGATGCATTTTCCGTGGCAGGGGCAGTACAAGAGACATCCTCATCGGAGCTGTTAGGAGGTCCGGGTGGTATTTCCTGAGAGGGGTTGCATTTTGGAGCATCAGATCTTGAGCTTTGCTAAGATGATTTTGCATGACAGGTGCAGCACTTCGTATGACCTGGCATCACTTTTTCGTGGCAGGCGCAGTACTTTCGACAGGTGGTCTGGAAAAATCGCAAAACGCATTGGTACGAGGCTGTCAGCTCTGCTTTCCATTTTTGAAGGAAGTCTCGCAGAATTGCTTTGTTTTTGATGTTGTCAAGTTCAAAAATTGAATAAGTCTCGCAGAATTGCTTCCTTTTGGATGTTTGTCTAGTTCAAAAAATGAATAGGGCTTGCAGAATTGCTTCGTTTTGGATGTTGTCGAGTTAAAAAAATGAAGAAGTGTCGCAGAATTGCTTCGTTTTTGATATTGTCAACTTCCAAAAATGAAGAAGTCTCGCAGAATTGCTTCGTTTTTGACGTTGTGAAGTTCAAACATTGAGGAAGTCTCGCAGAATTGCTTCGTTTTTGATGATGTCAATTTTGCAGAATGAAGAAGTCTCGCAGAATAGCTTGGTTTCCAAGCTTGCAGATAGACAGGTAGATAGACAGACAGACAAAGAGATAGATAGATAGATAGATAGATCGATCGATCGATAGATAGATAGATAGATAGATAGATAGCTGGATAGACAGGTAGCTAGATGGATGGATAGGTAGATAGATAGATAGAGAGATAGACAGATAGACAGACGGACAGAGAGGGAGAGAATAGGTAGGTAGATAGTCAGAGAAAGCGAAAGAAAGAAAGAGAAAGAGAGGAGACCTCAACCACCTGCCGGTCCATCAGTGGCTTCGCTCTGCCATCCGTGATTCACAACAACCAACCTCTCCTATAGGTTTCCTATTTTTGAAACTTTCGCCACCGCCTTGTGCGGTACTACTGGTAATGGTTTACTTTATTATTACTATTCTTCGCAGTTGAACCTTTATTTATGGGCGATTATAGTCCATTCAACTAACCACAATGGTAAACCACTAGACTTGCCAGGTCGCCGTGCATGGCCGCTCCATTGGTGGCATCGCAGCGTGTCGTTTGGAGCGCCCAGTGATGGCCATGGGATGATCTAACTGGTTTGGCAGTTGGTGGCGAAACCAGGTTCCCTTGCCCCACCATCAGAGTGGCACCTTGCACCCTCCATTCAATGGATTTCATGGGATTTATATAATAGGACATAAAACTCAAAAGATCAATTTTGACTTGTTATATTACATTCCTACAATCAACCCGTACCTTCTTTTTTTTGGTTGGCTTTGACAAATCAAGTCGTTTGCAAATGAATTCCATTTGAAAACAAAGTGTCAATTCTTCATTCTTGCAGTTTTGGTTGGTTCTATTCCATCCCAACTACATGGAACTATATACATGGTTCCCAAATTTGCCCACGGTAAATCCACTTGTTGTTTCTTCGATTCTCGTAGTTAAGGATGAATTCCACCATTTCCCACTTTCACCATGCTTGCAATCCACTTAATTACTTGAGAACCCCTTGGTGCGTCATAGCCTGGTATTTGAGACGTCCCAGCTTTAAAACTACCAGGTTTGATGTGGTAAACCTTCAACCATAAACTATAACCTACCGACTTGCCCTTTAGGTGGATTGTAAACTACACCCAAAGATTGGGTTTATTATTCCCCCTATCTGTTGTGAGCTTGTACCGGAAATACAACAGTTTGCTGTGGAAAATGTCCCATGTATTTCGATGATTCCAATAGCAACCTGTTAAATTTCCAGAGTCTCTCCCCATGAAACCCCCATTTGTGCAATCAAATTCTTGGTGAAATCCCAATTTTTCAGGTCTAGTTTTCCCTCTTCTTTGGATACCCACATCGGCCATGGGACGATCCTCCAGGTATCGCCAACAAGAACCCCGACATTGTCAAGGCGCTGGGGATTGACCGTAGCGGCAACCGTATGACCGGAAGCATAGTGCCTGAAAAAAATGTGTATCCAACAATAAACCTAAAATGACCCATAGTTTATTGGGTTTAGTTGGATCATCCTTGTATCAAGAGCAGATGTAGGTTCTGCACCAGATCCAGTGGGTGGGACCCGGAGTTGATGGTTTGGGTGTATTCAGCAACGGTCAAGCCCAAAAGACATTGGTTTCCATCCTTAACAAAGCCAACTGGTGGATTTTGGATGGTTCTGAATTGTTTGGAAACATCAGTTTTTGTGCCGAGGGACATAGTACAGTCGAGGAAAACCATGCATCATGGGATGAAACCACATCTCTTCCAGAGTTCGGAATTTGGGGGTCATAATCCAACTGGGAACCACGTTCTTAAAGAACCTGTATAACGGACATAAAACGGGTGAACACTGCTGAATTCACAATTCACGGGATGCAGTTCCAGTTTTTTGTGGGTATGAGAGCATAGTCGCAGGGGTTACTGTACTACCATAGTTCCACCCATTACTATAGAAACCACTACTGGCCACTATCAACCATCATAAATCATCGTTGGCCATCATCAAACATCATTAACTATTGTTACATCACCCACACTTCATAAGCATTAACCATCACTAACCACCATTAAACTTTTCTTATCAGCCATCATTAACCATATTCGCAACCATATATATATATATGAATATAATAAGCCACTATTTAACTAGTGCTATAAACCATTAGATATATGTATATATATATATATATTATAACCATCATTAACCCGCTATTACTTCATAACCATTCTTTCCATCCCAACTGATCCCCCAAGTACAACTGCTTTCGGCGAAGTATCTCGCCGGAGCAGGTGCTTGTGGCAGATCGCACCTTCTCAACACTGGCGAAGGCGGATGCCAATGATGCGGGTAGGGTGGGGGATAACCATAGATAATATGATGTGGGATAATTACCGTCAAACATGGGATATATATATATACATATATATATTAATATATATATATATATAATTACACATATATATATATATATACATATTAATACATACATATAATTATGTACATATTATTCTGGAATACTGGGATTAAGATGGCCTTAATCATGAAAATTATGTGGATATACATGCGGGTATCATGAGGATAAGAATGGAATTCAACATGCAGACATGGTCCTGAACCGACCAAACTGGTAGTATGCGGAGAATAGTAAACTATCACCAACCAATAGGGATAAAAACCAACCATTATCCAGCAAGAATACCCCCAATCTTGGGTATGGTATAGTCACTCAATATGAATCTTTTGTCGCCTGTGGATATGTTGGCTGGCCATATAGGAGATAACCCAACTTATATCTCAGCGCATTCTCGTTGGCAAGGAATGCTCACTTTTGTTTTCCATAGCTAGATGATATAAACTCCCATCATCGGCCCACTGCGGCTGCGATTCCCAATCACAGTTCTTTCTGAAACCAAAAAAAAGCCACGCAGGCGGCCAAGTACACATTTGGAGACTGGGCAGCCAAGGGCCTTTCATTATCCGCGACCTGGGCGGATAACGTGTCGAACTATTTGAGCACGAAGTGCTACAAGGTGATGCTCTGCGACCCCAAGGACTTGGGAGGAATGCGTAGGTCATGATGTAGCATCCATAATGAGTATATAAGAAGGATATATATATTTATCTACTATATATATATTTATCTACTATATATATATTTATCTACTATATATATTTATCTACTATATATATATATTTATCTACTATATATATATATTTATCTACTATATATATATTTATCTACTATATATATATTTATCTACTATATATATATATTTATCTACTATATATATATTTATCTACTATATATATATATTTATCTACTATATATATATTTATCTACTATATATATTTATCTACTATATATATATATTTATCTACTATATATATATATTTATCGACTATATATATATTTATCTACTATATATATATTTATCTACTATATATATATTTATCTACTATATATATATTTATCTACTATATATATATTTATCTACTATATATATATTTATCTACTATATATATATATTTATCTACTATTTGTATACGATATTCATGTACACATGTTGTATGTGTACATCTACAAGTTGCAAACGCAGACATCTACAAGTTGCAAACGAAGGGATATGAGACATGATCTAAAAACATTGGGGCTCAGCAGTCAGCAAAATTATCAACTATCGTTAGCAAGTCTTTGAGAGCGATAGTCCCTTGCATAAATGAGGTTCTACCTGGTTACAAATCAGTTGCCAAGTCTGATGATCATTTGCCGAAATTTGGAAACTAATTCAAGTTGTATTGACCAACAAACTTGAAGAAAGTGGACAGGATACAACAATCACTTGATGAGGTCGTTTTCCTGGATTCCTCCAAAATGATTGGCCTCAACAACCAAAAAACGTCTCAGCAACAGCACCTTTTGAAGATTCCGTGGGCAAACGATGTTGCCCAATTATAATGACTCAATTGGGGCAACCCATCAAAAGGTATACCTTGGGTTATCCCCCAATCCACTAACCATTCAGAATCAATCATCACATATTTGCAACTTGTGACACGCTTGTAGATGGTACTGGTAAAACAAACGTTCAAGCTAATTAATCAGCTTACTTTGACAACATTAAGCAACATTCATTTACGTACTGGCTCATTTTAATTATGGTATACCACAATTTATTGATGATTATATATTGTCACTTATATCATGAACAGCTTCTCAAAGAAATCGTTAGGTAATTATCAATAACGAGATATGGGATATGTATATATATATATATATCATATGTGTATATATATATATATCATATGTGTATATATATATATATCATATGTGTATATATATATATATAAGTTGCATATCAATTACCATCAGCGAAGCAGCTTTATAATATATATATAAATTACATATCATGTCCACATCAATCAGAATGACATATCAGCAAACATGCATAACATATACAGATACACAAACACATAGATATACCATCAGTTGATTTTACATGTATATTCACGTATGTATATGTACACATCATATCGATCTATCTATCTGTCTGTCTGTCTGTCTATCTATCTGTCTATCTGTCGATCTATCCATTGATCCATCCTACCCTATCCCATCCCATCCTATCCCATCCTATCCTTATCTATCGAACTAGCTACCGTATATACTGTAAACAGTCACTACATATCAAGTGTCATACTAGTACCATCAGTTTACCATACTTCTACCATGCGCAGGACGCCACCATTCCAGACCTGGCGGCACTGCGCACAGCAGTGGCACAGAAAGTTCTGGAGCAGGTGGCGATGGCAACACAACGGGAGGTGAAAGGGGTTGGATACAGAAGAGGCCAGAAAAAAGGGGAATTCAAGCATCAAAAATGGAATTTCAACAATTTAACCATCAAAATTGGAGATTTGACAATCAACAATGAGGGTTTTGCCATCAAAAACAGGGATTTACAATCAGAGATGAGGATTCAACCTTCAACAAAGCTTGGAGATTTCATATGAGTTAGCCAAGAACGCGAGGAGATTCCATGAACAAACAATCTACAAGTGAGATACACGAGTAAACATAAAGGCCAGGGGGATCATGACAATACGAATGGTTACCTTATCGCACTGCCCTGGTGATTCCTGCCAAGAACACGATTTCCAAATGGTTACTGTAGATACGTCCTACATGGAAAAACATTTTGCAACACATGTCGTGCCTTCAACTATCAGTTTTGGCTGGTTGTTTTGGCCTTCTTTGGTCCCAATCATGTTTTGGCGCTTGAGAATTCCAATATGTTGGGGCAAAGTCCCCCAGAGTTCTTGGTTGACTCACCAAACTTTCAGCCAGGACAACTTTTCTGGTTGCTACTTTTTTTGGTAGTTTTAGTCTCCCCCTGGGATGAAGAACAAATGCCAGTATCAATGTCACTATTAACAAAATGGACATACCAATCCAGTTAATTTAAACATGATGATGATGACGATGACGACGACGACAATGATAATGATGGTTGTGATTGTGATGATGGGATTGACCATTCCGACAAATGATATGATTCGTGTTGGTCAATCCTGATGATGTGAAAAAAAGATAACATCAATCCAACTCATTAAAACTATGATAATGATCAACATTTTGGATGGCCCAATTAGTTTTAGCTTCATGACATACTAAAATACAAAATTTGACAAACAACCTGATCCCAGATTTAGATATTTTTGGCATGGCTCAACCGTCGTCCCACCTTGTGAAACTCACCTTTCAGGTGCCTTCGAGTGAGCGACTGACCTACGAGGCTAAGTACCGTATTGGATGACCATTTCGAGTAGGTTTTTTTTTCGAGATTTTGAAGAAAACTATAGAAACCATGGTTTGTCGGAAACCACTCTTCAAATATTTTTGGAGCGAGAAGAATCTATAGGCTATAGGCCATCAATTTTGGGATATGCAATGGTTGTCTAAAACTCAAATGAAGTAAAACCGATTTGTGCGCTTATCACGTTGTAGCCATGCCACACCTATTTTATGATGTATCTATAGCATGAACTGACCATAAAACATGATTGCTATAGGCTTCAGTCCGGTGTGGGATTTGTCATTTTACTATTCGGGTTCCATATCATGCTGAGAGTGCACAATTACGCCGTAATGAGTTCAAGTACCACCATGGCTTTTCGTCTCTACAATGATGTGCCCATCACACGTGGGTTGTTCAAGCCATTTCAGTAGTGAATCACCCACCTTTTTGGGGCGATTTTCAAAGGCCCACTCAACATCCTGCAGCCTGTTTGTAACTGGGTTTCTGGATCCATTTCTGTACCTGGCCATGTATCCTTGGCTGGGTTTGGCAGGTCAATATATTACTTTTATTCATCATTGGGATTCAGATCTGGGAAGGTATGAAACATACCCAGATCTCTAGAATTACTAGGTATCTCAAAGTCGTAATGAAATTGGGAATGTAATATAGCACATAACATACTCTACACACAGAGATATCTATATACATACACCAATATACAGAGACACACTATCCCAAGAATCAACAAATCTACCCTCTGGTAAACTAGCAGTTCGCTATCGAAAATAGCCCAGTCGAAATAGTGGATTTACCCATTGAAAATGGTGGATCTTTCCATCGTTTTTTGCATGTTTACCAGAGGCTATGGGGAATTCCACGATGGTATGGCCATCCTCAATTCTTCAATGCTAGGGCGTGGAGCGCATGGCCGAAGCCTGGACCTTTTTCGAGGCGCCTCCGGGGGACACCAGGCCACCTCCTGGTGTCGTTGGGTTGCCCGAGGCCATAAAAATACCCTGAGGGGTAAGTGGCAATGGCAAATCCTCTAGAACTGAAGGTTTAACTAGGAAAATCAGCTATAAATGATTTTTTTCGGTGGATCTACAATTGCCACGTTTGATTGAGGGCACATGAAAGATGGACATATCACCATTCAGTGCATGTGAACAGCACCAAACTATGCACATGAGCAACAAGCGGTGGATTTGAGGTGAACATGACCGACAATTCCATGAGTAACATGATTATTGGTTATGATCATGTGATGATAGTTTATTATTGATTACCTTCACATATTTTGGATATGTAACATGACTATATGTAACATATTTTGGTGACCATTCTTAACATAGCGATTTTGGTCACCGTGAGTCGGTGCGGTGGCCGGCCCTGCGGTGGCCGGTGGCCACAGGTCTTGCTGTCCATTTGTGACGCCTGCGATGGTGGCTGTGCGTGCCATCCGCAGCTCGGCCCAATTCTACCTCTTCTGGGGATTATATATATATAATATATACCCTCTGGTAAATTAACATAGACCCTGAAAATAAGCCATTTTGAGTGGAAACCAGTCTTCCAACCCCTATCTGCCAAGGTCTATGTTAATTTACCGGAGGGTAATATATGTAATATCATATATGATATTTTAAATATAATATGCATCCAATTTTTCGGGATGGATTCGAATTTCGATCCTCCCCGATGTTTTTTTTGATATCTGAGTCCCCAATATGGCAATATGTCAATAGTATACCCTCTGGTAAACTAACATAACTATGGAAAATCACCATGTTTCATGGGAAAATCCACTATAAATGGTGATTTTCAATAGCTATGTTAAATTAACAGATGGTACCCAGAATGGATAGATCCAATGCGAAACCCCTCCGGGTGAGCCCCTCCAAAGCCCCGAGGCGCTTTGGGGAGTCCAAACGCTCTGCGCGGCAGCCGGTGGTGGGGAAACCTGTGGTCGAGGCCACGGAAGGATCTCTGGAGGCGCGGCGATGGCAGGGGAAGCGAAAATTGAGGATTTTTCTCATGGAAAATTGAGGAGTTCTGAGAAGTGAACATATATTATAAATATATGATATATAATATATGTAATATAATATATGTAATTGAGGATTGAACCACCACTTGAACTTCTGCATTGTTTTTTTCCAACAAAAAGGGATGATGTTGTGAAACGACTGAATTGACAAGCAAGGCATTGTCATATTCAGAAGATAGAAACATGGCCATTCACAGAAGATACTTATCATTAATCATCCTTATCAGTCACTATCAACTATTAACCATTATTAGTCACAATTGATCACTATATAATTGAAACTAATCAATCATTATTAACAACTATAAAACCATTATATATAATTATAATCCATTTGTAATCATTATCAATCATCATGAATTACTACTATTAATCACTATTCACCACTACTAACCACTATTAATCCTCATTAATCACTGTGAACCATTGTCATCATTATTATTATTATCATTATCCAGAATCACATGACACCATTGGGTCCCATCGCTGAGGCTGGCGAGGAGGACGCGCGCCTGGTGGTGCGGCCGCCGCCGCCACCAAGGGTCACCCTGCAGTGGCTGCAGGAGAGTGAGGGCCCGTGGTGGATGGCGCGGATGGGTTTTTGAGGGGGAGGAATCCGGAGAAAATCCATGAACATCAGGACCATCAGGAAAAGTACAGACACATAGATAGAACATCATGAGAAAATACAGAAAGCCCATGGGAAGAGGGGTCAACTAAGAATGATTTTCATGGGCATTTTGACCGGAACATTGCGGAGTTTACTGAGAAGAAAGGGAGTTGCCAGAATCCAGTTGGCTTTGTCCAAAATTGGGTTCCCCCAAAATGACATAAAATGTCAATCATAATATGACAACCATCGATTATTTTACGCATTGATTTTGTTTGTCTTGATAATTACCCTCCGGTAAACTAACATAGCTATGGAAAATCACCATCTTTAACAGGTAAATCAACTATTTCTATGGGACATTTTCAAGTTCGCAAACTGTTAGTCATTACCAGAGGCTACCGAAAATGATCGATTTGACGCGACAGTTGCTGTTGTTGACCAGGAACACAGTGAATTCGTCCACTTCACCATGTCTCCTCACATCGACATGCTGAGACAGGCTGCCAAAAAAACCAAGGGGAATCTAAGCAAGATTTGGCAAGATTTGGATCTCCAAAAAAACATATATAGGATTTTGCTGCAATCAACATTTGGATGTTGGATGTTGGGTGAAGTACAGCTACCTCATTGGCCGCTGTCACTGTCGATGATTTTATAGGGAACCTCCGTAGCAAAAACCTTTTTTTCAGGTTTGTGACAGCACCGGTTTCGTTGCAGTTGAATGCTGAACACTTTGGCTTGTCAACCTGCGGGTAATCAAACACGGCAATGGAATCCCCACTATTTATAGATGATGTTCTGAAACGTGCATCAGTCCAGGGATTTCCGATTGGCATGTTTGATTGCCGAAGGGTAAATGATGAGCCACATGTTTTGGTATTCTTTTTGGCTTCCATTCCTTTGATCTCCGAAAATGTTTGGACGTTTCGGTCCCTACTTCTGGGAAACCACCATGGTTGATGCAAATGATTTTGATACCATGGAATAACTGAGATCCTTTGCATCATGGTAGGCAACATTTGAGTGAAACCTTCCTTGAGCATGAACTAGATTCAACTAGACTCCTTGTTGTTAGATTTAGAGGTACTGAAAACTCAAGGGTTGTACCTGTTTTTGCTTTTGTGAAGATCTTTCGGCTTGGCCCAGTAGTAAGGAGTGTGTACATTTTGACACATGCCCCGTGCACTACATGGCTACGTGGATTCATCATCTGCTGACAAAGGTGCAACGGATGAAATTGATGAGGTCGATCTTCAGGTGCTGTGCTTGAATGGAGAAGGAGTGGCAGTAAGGCTCCCGCGCTCTGCGCTTGGGTATGACCTGCGCAGGTTGGTGTCAGAGAAACTTCCATGCAAGCCCGGCGCAAAGCTCGCCGTGCATCATGTGAATCGAAAGCTGACCCTCGATAAAACCTTGAGAGAGCAAGAAATTGTTGGAAAATCGGCAATGCTGTCCTGCACTTACATGCCAACCAATTTGTATACAGCATTGCGTTGTGCCTCTGAACTCCCAACTTGTGAGAGAGAGTTTGCACTAGAAGGCGTTACAGAACTTGCGAGAGCAGTGCCTGGAGAGTATTTGCATCATCTACCCCGCAGCCTTGCAAAATTGAGTCTTTATGGAAACTTCAACCAAAGCCTGGGCGGGTGACCTTGCCATCGAGTCTTCAAAGCTTGAGCTTTGAGCGGGACTTCAATCAAAGCCTGGAGCTGGTGACCTTGCCATCGAGCCTTCAAAGCTTGAGTTTTGGCAATCGGTTCAACCAAAGCCTGGAGCAAGTGACCTTGCCATCGAGCCTTCAAAGCTTGAGCTTTGGTGCGAATTTCAACCGCTGGAGCGGGTGACCTTGCCATGCAAAGCTTGAGTTTTGGCGATCAACCAAAGCCTGGAGCGGGTGACCTTGCCATCGAGCCTTGGAAACTTCAACCAAAGCCTGGAGCGGGTGACCTTGCCATCGAGTCTTCAAAGCTTGAGCTTTGAGCGGGACTTCAATCAAAGCCTGGAGCTGGTGACCTTGCCATCGAGCCTTCAAAGCTTGAGTTTTGGCAATCGGTTCAACCAAAGCCTGGAGCAAGTGACCTTGCCATCGAGCCTTCAAAGCTTGAGCTTTGGTGCGAATTTCAACCAGAGTCTGGAGCGGGTGACCTTGCCATCGAATCTTCAAAGCTTGAGTTTTGGCTTTGACTTCAACCAAAGCCTGGAGCGGGTGACCTTGCCATCGAGTCTTCAGAGCTTGAGTTTTGGCCAACGTTTCGATCAAAGCCTGGAGCGGGTGACCTTGCCATCGAGTCTTCAGAGCTTGAGCTTTGACAGTGCCTTCAATCAAAGCCTGGAGCAGGTGACCTTGCCATCCAGCCTTCAAAGCTTGAGTTTTGGCGGTGGGTTCAACCAAAGCCTGGAGCGGGTGACCTTGCCATCGAGTCTTCAAAGCTTGAGTTTTGGCTTTGGCTTCAACCAAAGCCTGGAGAGGGTGACCTTGCCATCCAGCCTTCAAAGCTTGAGTTTTGGCGATCGGTTCAACGAAAGCCTGGAGCAAGTGACCTTGCCATCGAGCCTTCAAAGCTTGAGTTTTGGTGCGAATTTCAACCAGAGCCTGGAGCGGATGACCTTGCCATCGAGTCTTCAAAGCTTGAGTTTTGGCTGTGGGGTCAACCAAAGCCTGGAGCGGGTGACCTTACCATTGAGTCTTCAAAGCTTGAGTTTTGGTGAGAATTTCAACCAAAGCCTGGAGCGGGTGACCTTGACATCGAGTCTTCAAAGCTTGAGTTTCGGTAAGAATTTTAACCAAAGCCTGGAGCGGGTGACCTTGCCATCAAGTCTCCAAAATTTGAGTTTCGGCTGGAACTTCAACCAAAGCCTGGAGCTGGTGACCTTGCCATCGAGTCTTCTAAGCTTGAGTTTTGGCTATAAATTCAACCAAAGCCTGGAGCGGGTGACCTTGCCATCGAGTCTTCAAAGCTTGAGTTTTGGCTTTGGCTTCAACCAAAGCCTGGAGCAGGTGACCTTGCCATCCAGCCTTCAAAGCTTGAGTTTTGGCGGTGGGTTCAACCAAAGCCTGGAGCGGGTGACCTTGCCATCAAGTCTTCAAAGCTTGAGTTTTGGCTTTGGCTTCAACCAAAGCCTGGAGCGGGTGACCTTGCCATCCAGCCTTCAAAGCTTGAGTTTTGGCGATCGGTTCAACCAAAGCCTGGAGCGGGTGACCTTGCCATCGAGCCTTCAAAACTTGAGTTTTGGTGCGAATTTCAACCAGAGCCTGGCGCGGATGACCTTGCCATCGAGTCTTCAAAGCTTGAGTTTTGGCGAGGAGTTCAACCAAAGCCTGGAGCGGGTGACCTTGCCATCGAGCCTTCAAAGCTTGAGTTTTGACCATGACTTCAACCAAATCCTGGAGCGGGCGACCTTACCATCGAGTCTTGAACTCTTGACTGTTGGAGTTTTATCAATCAGGGTCTCTGTTACTTCTGAAAGCTGTGAGAAGTTTGGTGGACACATTTAGGAAGAATCCTGCACAGAAACCTAGGCAAAAGAGGCTGGCGATCCTAGGGATGTGCCAAGCGACTAACCTTGGGTGCTTGGGGGTCCGAGGTTTGGGGACTCTACAGTAACGTTTACTCAGGGACTGGGTAAAAGTCGGAATTCTGACCACCTTGGATCTGTGTTTTGACGACCCTGGTTAAAGTCCTCAGCCGAGATGGCCCCTTTTCTTTCTTAAAGTCCTCCTGCTTGGTCAATGTCTCTGCAAATCCCTCGTGGATGATTTTTCATCTGTCTCTGCACATTTCTGGGGACTTCCTTGTTTGATTCTTGGAGGGTATATGATGATTGCTTTTGGTTCCGCAAAGGCCGCCTGGATCCCCAAATCACATTGGTGGTGAAGCCCTTGGCAGCTCAATTCTGCCAGGTAGCTAGCCAACTATTCCCCAGTCTTTGATCATAGGGAACTCCAACCCAGACAGTTCATTCTTTCCGGTAGATTTCTCCTTCAACCCAAGCCAGTGGTATTATTAACATGACGTTGATCTCCCTAAGTTATCCGGTACTCAAACGTGGCAATGGAGATTTTCCATCAATTTATAGATGATTGTCCCGTGAAAACCCCTCGCGTTTGGCGATTTCCCAGCGATCACCTCTGCAGGCCCTCGACACTTTGGGCTCCAGGTCTGGGAGATTTTGGAGGATTGGATCCAGATTGGCCCCACTCCGTAGGCTTAGCACCAGTCAGATGATCAACAAAAGCTGATCAAGAATGGCACCTGAAAGCCACATCCTACCCATGATACCGCAATACCCATGGCTACGAGCCAGCAACGGTCATACCGGAGGGAAGCAATCTCCCCAAGTCTTGTATATTTGGGTGGGTCAAATCCCATTTTAGTTCTTTGAGTTTCCATTTTTCTTGCTTCACATACACATTCTTGTTGCAAGAATCCTCGTCATAACTCCATTTTGTGTGGTGAAATCCCCATTTCTGTTGATCAAATGTCCATATCCTTGTGGTAAAATCACCTTTTTTTCCTGGTAAAACTATCATTTTTGTGGGTTAACTCCCAAGTTTCTATGGTAAAATCAGCATTTTTCATGGCTAAAATGACAATTTTCGATGGTAAAATCACCCTTTTTTGTGTCCCGAGTTGTGCTTCATCCCGATCGTTTTTCGCCAGGTTTAATGCTGGCGGCCTGACGTTGGACGAAGCCCTTGGGGGGCAGGACTGGCCGTCGAAAACGGGACGTGGAGGATGTGTAGTGGATGCGGAAACGCAGTAAAACACGTATACTAATATGATAAGATTAATTTACCTAAGATTTAAAAGGTATTGTCTTAATAGTAATAATAATAATTATAACTATTAATAGTAATACTGAATGTGATAGTAATAATATATAATACAGAATAACGAATACCAACAACAAGAACTATGAAAATGATACTAAGATGATAACAATGATAATAATGATAATGATAATAATGATACTCATTATAACGATGATAATAATGACAATAATGATAATAGTGATAATGATAATAATGATAATAATGATAATAATGATAATAATGATAATAATGATAATAATGATAATAATGATAATAATGATAATAATGATAATGATAATAATGATAATAATGATAATAATGATAATAATGATAATACGTATAATAACGATAATAATGATAATAATGATAATAATGATAATAATGATAATAATGATGATAATGATAATGAACATAATTGAAATAATGACAATACGGATAATCATGATAATAATGATTATGATGATCACACACATATATATATATATATAATTAATCATGATAATTATGATAATAGGGATGTGATCGGGGTACAATGGGTCTGTAAACAAACAAATTGGGATGATAACCGCCCAACAAAAACATACCTATTTGTTTTGGTATGTGTGTATTTTCTGAATTCCACCCGAATGGTACCCAAGGAGGGAATGTGTTTGCCGGATTTCACAGCCATCGCAATGAGAGGATGCACATCCACATCTACGCGTAAACCCACTGCATTCCCTGGGTGAATTGATCCAGACCCACATCAACGTTGTGGATGATTTAGGCTGTCAACCATCAGCATCGGCCATCTTTTTGGAAGCCGACACAGAAGATCTGGGTTTTTGGCTACCAACATTGCTCGTACGGATGTTTATCTGAGTTTATCTTGCCAAATAGATGGGCTGCTGTACCCATCAGGTCTCGAGAGAAAGGAATGCAACACAGGGTTGCTCCAATCCAATTACAGACAAATGATAGCCACAAAGGGGGTCTATTAGTCATGTTGCCTCTATATTTACCCAATTTACCCCCCTTGTACCTGCCATTTTTGGAGCAACCCTGCAACATCGCAAGATATAGCAACATTACGGATTTCAGCAACCGGGCGAAGCATCGATGGAGGACTTGATCTTCGAATTCGAAGAACATGGCTGAGAATCAGCAATGGATTTACAGATACCCTCTGGTAAACTAACATAGCTATCGAAAATGGCCATAGAAATAGTTGATTTACCTACTGTATTATTATTATTATTAAAGTGGTGATTTTCCATAGTTGTGTAAACGTTTACCAGAGGGTATATTAAGAAATCCTTTCAGCAATGGCTTTCCGATCGTTCAATTGTGATAATCTTCTTGCCTGTATACAATGATAGGACACTTGTTTTTCCGATCATGTTGCAGGAATTTACAGGAACATGGTCTGAGTATGCTGCCAGTTGTGAATTTATGTGCCGTGGGCCCCATTTCTCTGTTACAAAGCCATGCGGTTCTCACTATACCAGCTGCACTCAATTGTACCCTTGATAGAATCTGTGAAAGCAACACAGCCCAATTGAGGCTTGGAAATGGAATGGGATTCGTTCCAAAATACGACTTGCATAGATACTCTGTCAAATACCCAGAAGATCCTCGAGGGGTCCCAGAAACATTGCGCCATCCACATCATAGTAGTCATGTGATCCGCATAGATTGTCTTTTCCCATTGGTTGCAAATGATGAGAATCAGATCGGCCCCTCTACTTCTGTTGTTCTACTGGAGAGTAGTCTCATCCACGAGCAACAAGATAAATGATGACTAGTGGTATTGTAAACTCCAATTTTTGTTGGTCAATACGGTAAACATCCCCTTAGTATACTATCTATCCAGCAGAACTACACTTTTGCTGGTGAATCGGTGAATGATTCATGGGATGTTTAATCCAATTCTTGCAGACACGTAAGTAGTTTGGACATAATTACTATATGATCATAGGCGGCAAAATCGGATGATATGTATATATATATATACATATATATACGTATATATAATATAATATGGGAATGATATACGGAGTTGGGTATTTCTAAATAATATATAATGATCATTATTATATGATCATATTAAATTCTAAACATGTAGATGCTCACATAACAACGCCATTATGTATCCCATTATGTATATATATATAGATGTATATATGTAAAGACTCATACAGACATGACATATTTAGCACTAGTACTAGTACTACTACCACTACCACAACGACTACTACTACTGCTGGTGCTGGTGCTACTGCCGCTACTGCCGCTACTGCCGCTACTGCTGCTACTGCTGCTACTGCTGCTACTGCTGCTACTGCTACTGTACTACTGCTACTACCGCCAATAATAAGAAGATCAGGATAATGATACTACTTATATTCTCTTGTTTTTTTCCCCCCATTTCAGTACATCACCACTGGGGATCCACGTCAGGAGGAGGCTGCGGAAGCTTTGCAGAGCTTCTTGTGCAACCTGCAGGCGACTGGGTATCACCATGGATGGGAAGTTGTGTAATGATTTGGGGTGATACTCCCTGAGCCGTTTTCATAGGTTGGTCATTGGGGGGATTACATAATCATTGATCACTACACACCCATGTGTAAATCACCATGCCTGATGATGGGACAATGGGCAAGGATCAGGAAAACTGATTTTCTCAACCATGGGTAAAGAGTGGGGTATGACCCACTTCCAGACAAACCAACATTAGTCAGTGGGGGGACGGGAGTAGTATTGACCTTTTTCTGAACCAAAAATACATGGTTATAGAATACATTGGATGTAGCAGGTGTTGAACGGCTTACAATTCCAACAATTGAATTGTATTCCCGTTGGTCTATGGTTGAAATCAACCGATCTACCCAATGACACCCCCCAAAGCTTGATGGGACAAGTACTAAACTTTTGTGTGAAACCAAGGGATCCAAGAGCGTAACAGATCTCCAATCATTGTTTTGGCATAATGTGGTTAAAGCAATGCCATAAACCACCCATTTGGGAATGAATTATACCACCAATTTATGGTGAAATTGGAGATGGTTCACTATTGTTTTACCAACATTACCTGGAAAACCTGGAAACCTGGTGCTTCCACACATCCAAAACAGTCCACGACATCGAGCATTTCCCCGTGGTTACGGGTTACATCGGCACTTGAAGTTGGTAAACGCCCGTTTTTTTTGGTTGGTCAACAAACAATTGGTTGGTGAAGCACTATATATATATATATATCTATATCATTTTCTCCGATGCCCAATCGCCAATCCAAAGCCACCATTTTGGAGGTTGGGAACCACAGGTTTTTTTGATGCAACAGTTTGCCGCAGCCATCGGATTTGTTCATCATCATTGTGAGCCAATTCCCTTCGGATATCCCTCTGCCCGCAACACTGACCTCAACTAGCCGGTGACTAGCCTTGACTATTCACTGCTATGCATGACCTTGCCTTATCTACGATGCCTATGACCTCATTTATGATGAGTGTAACTGTGTAACTTGATTTTTGATGATCATGATCTTACAACCCCCGTTTTGGATGATTCATTTATATAGATTCATATATATATATATTATCCCATGTTTGATGCTTATCACCCCATGTCGTTGATGCTTTGAAGCCCGGTGCTTCCCATGCTACTACTGTCCGCTATTCTCAGGTCTGGGGATCTCTGGCTCTGCGCGCCGGGAAGCCTTGGAAACGGGGTGGGTCGGTGCCTTGGAAACATGGGGCAAACTGGTGCAACAATCCCTGAGAAAAATCCAAATCCCCGGGAAATTCAAACAATGGCTGGTCATGTCATGTTATGTCATGAATCTAAATAGCGGATTTTTGGGATATATCATCCCCATTATTTTAGATAATTCTACTGTAAATTCCTCAATGGGGATCGATCACCTGGGAGTTTAGTGATTTTGCAGCTCCAACCGGATGTATTTTTACCCGCAAAAACAGGAACTCGGAACGAGAGCTAGGATTCAGCCTGGTGGTCACCGCCAATCTTGGAGATTTCCAACAGAAATTGGAACCCTCAATTTGCAATTTCGCCAAAGGATCGTCAATTTCCAGGGTTTCCATTTTTCAAGGAGGTTGTTTCCTCAAAACTGAACATCCAAACATCCGGCCATTCGGATGGGGAATATACCATGATTCATGCGAATAATGAGGAAGTCCCGTAAATTTTCCAACGATCTTTTGAAGTGAAGGCAGTGTTTAACTCACTTCATGAGACGTTCTCATCATGGTTTTATGTTGATGTTTCTGTTGCCAGTCGACACCCCGACTATGATCCGTTGTTTCTTATACCCTCTGGTAATTTAACGTAGCTATTGAAAATGGCCATTAATAGTGGATTTTCCCATTAAAAATTGTGATTTTCCATAGCTATGTTAGTTAACCAGAGGGTATGATCCGTTGTTTCTTATACCAAGCATTTTTTTCCAATTTCCCGAGTGGATTTCCGGTTTTCGATGGTATAATCCCACCATTTCTGACGGTAAAATTTCCAGCCAGGGCGCCTCCGGGGACTTCAGTCCCGTTCCCCGTGCCGCTGTGGATGATGATCTGGTGGGGGAGACTCAGATCCAAGATATCCTATATATCCTATATATATATATATATTTATTATATAGTAACTGGAATACATATATGCATTTTGGATAATTTTACTATATATATATGTAATATATCCCATGTTTAATGATTAATATAGTATACATCCATGTTCCATGGAACATGTGTATACATTACTAAATATATAATACTAAATATATGTACTCAATATCGATGATCCATATCCATATGATATAGATATGCGTATGGATGATTGTATCTATCTTTTCCTACAGGATCTATTTGTATAGATGATTGATTGTAAATATTAATGTACATGTAATGTAAGTATATGATTATGTATGACGGAATATAGATCTTTCGCAGTTGTAAAGAACAGATCATGGAATAAATGGGAATGTCATTTTGGGAAAATCACATATATATATACACATACATATACATGGTAGATATGAGCATAATGTGATACCAAAAAATCTAGAAAAGTAAATGATCATCACAAAATGGTGGGAATGGATTGAGACGCAGATCTGGGAGTGAAAAGAATGGCTTTGATTGGGACGTGAACAGCTGTTATATACCCATTTTGCCACAAAATGGGTTTGGAGCCATATATTTTCTTGGCATCAATTATAGTGGTGCTCCAGAAGATTGTCCCTTGAATCAAAATTTGGGAACATTACTTATATACTTGTAGAAGTATCACGGACCCATTTATTGGATGTAAAACTCAGCAATTTCGAGATGGATCATTCGCGCTGGGGCAAACAGCCTCGGGTGAACACAAAAGCCAAGATTCACCGATGGTATCACCCAGTTTGGCCAAACTGAAGCTGGGGGAATTTTACGGTACCACTTGTAAATGCTGTTCACGCATATATTGTCGTTGATGCTCACATTTTGGACAACAGCTCCAGTGCCGAAAGGGTTTCCCGTCATCAGCAGATTAAAGACCCCCAATGGCCAACCATTTGTGGCTCAAACATGGGGTACGAATAATCCCACAAAAGACTTGCCGTTCTTAGTACTTTAGTAACCATTTTTTTGAGGTTGATCAATTTGCTCCACATCCGTTCATGTTTGAGATATTCCCATTTAAGAAATGGACCACTCATAACCCACATATCGATTCTAGAGTTTGGATCTCCATAGTCAAATGCCAGCAGTTCTTCAATAAATGGCTGTAGTATTAATCCAATAAACAGCAGTTGATTCGTTGACCTGTGGTTGTAGACCTCAGCCACCAGGAGCTCTTTTTGGCCAGAGGCCTGAGTGGTGCGAGGCTCAGGGATGAACCTCCTCCCCTTCTGTTCGACTTATGAGTGCGATTTTTCCTTGCCATTCGTATAGAGGAAGGTAGTTGGAAGTGGGGCCAGAACATTCTTTTGATTGGGTTCAAATGTTGCGAGTTTCGGACAGATTTGCGAGTTAGGGATCTCAAAAAACATCAAAGCCCCTATCAACCTGTCAAGATACAACATGCTTTCCGTTCGGGTCCACTGTTTCGATCCTTCCGTAGCCCTCACACCACATCCTCAGCTCACCTCAAGGGACGACTTCAGCAATGGCAGATATCTCCTTTTCCCAGCGGCTGATTTATATAGCTGCTTACTGCTTACCCCCAGTTTTCACAAGCAATAAGTGGTGCAGAAAATCCACTGCCAATCATTCTTTTACATCATTTGGTAGTTGCAGATAATCCCATGTTTCTCCCCATATTTCTTTCCATGTTCATCGATTTGTGTTGGGGAAACCGAGCGACGAACATGACAATCTTGCTCAGACCAACTTACTTTATTTTTGTGGGCATTTTAAAAAATCTCAACTCTGACATTTGGTTTTGTCCGAAAATAAGGTACCCACATTGCAGTCGTTTATGATCATTTGCACCATCAAAATTATAATTCTAGAATCTCCCAACATTTCTAGACAGATCCATTTATATCATATTGTTGGTGAAGTATATCCAGCTACATTTGTTTATCCCCTTGATATCGGTAGGGTTTAGAGCCCCACTTTTTAGGCACCCCCATCTGAAATATTCTTGAATCACCATTTTCTTGACTGGAAATCCCATTTTTGTTGGTCAATGCCTCTGTCCCAGTAGCATCCCGCAACGTCACCGGAATGATGTTCATCCCATCTCAATATTCCAGTAAATCCTTGTGATCTGGTTCATCCACCACTAATTTATAAGATATAAAGGGTTGATTTCCAGAAACTGGTGGATCAACCGATATGGTTTAAAAATATTGTTGAATTTAATGGTTCATATCCCCATATCTCATATATATATATATCTAAAATAATCCCACCATACTGGATCGTGCATTATTTTTTGTCCAGATTCTACATCTAATATTATATATGTGTAGAATATATATATATATATGTATATATTGTTGAACTTCGCAGACTCGCGATGCCACAAGGGTTGTGTTTAGTGGTGTGAGCGTTGGTGTTGTGCATGTGCTCTGCGCGTGCGCGCAGGTGCAAAGCACAGTGTGATGTTATTTTCATATCTCAGCTTGTAACCATCTTATCACACATCTTTCTTTGTTGCATTTTTGTGCTTGTTCTTCTTCTTTTCTTCTTCTTGTTCTTCTTCTTGTTGTTGTTGTTGGTTGTTGGTTGTTGGTTGTTGGTTGTTGTTTGTTGTTTTGTTTGTTTGTTTGTTTGTTTGTTTGTTTGTTTGGTTGTTGTTGTTGTTGTTGTTGTTGTTGTTGTTGTTGTTGTTGTTGTTAGTTGTTAGTTGTTAGTTGTTAGTTGTTAGTTGTTAGTTGTTAGTTGTTAGTTGTTGTTGTTGTTGTTGTTGTTGTTGTTGTTGTTGTTGTTGTTGTTGTTGTTGTTGTTGTTGTTGTTGTTGTTGTTGTTGTTGTTGTTGTTACCCCTCCAGCTTTTCGTCTCAATCCCATAGTGGTCGAAAATCGTCAAATAGTTGGTGTTTTCATTCTATAGCAGCTTATAGACTATTATTAGAAGACGTGCAAGTCACGCCGATTCGAGGTTCACGGCTACCGGTCCCTTACCCCAATGGTTGCAGGGTTGCTTGTGTTGGTTGCGTATCATACGCTGCGTATCCAAAGTGGAGCCATTGGAGTGGGCGGATGAACATTCTTCAGCACCAGCCATTTGGTGTGAAGGGCTGTAGGGTTTTGAACCATAGCCAGGTCACACAACCTTCCACAATACCAAGAAATGGCAGGACAGAAACTCGGAAAGTGCCAGCGAATAGCACAATCCAGTTTTTGGGTTTCCTTAGCCCTGCATTCCGTTTTATTGGTGATGTGACCTCTCGTCTCATGTCATTTCTGGACGGACTGCAGCCCATCCGATGCCAATTCTCAGCCTCAAGAGTTGAAATCTTTCGCCCGTGGGTTGCAGCAATGGCATCTCCACAGAAGAAGCGGAGGACAGGGACAGCACCATCGCGAGAGGAGGTGACCCGTTGAGGTGGGCTTATTGTGTTTGGTCGGCACGGAGAACAAAATGGCAGCTGAGTTGGATGAATTACCTTCTGAAGCTGTGCATTTTTTTTGGAAGTAGGGTAATCAGAGTTGCTAGTGAAGAAGGGCAGCTGGAGACATGAAATGAACTTTCTTCAGATGGGTAATCTAAGATTATCTACAGAAAAGAATAGAGGATGGCTGTGAAATCAGTGCTGTGCTGGTTGATGGTTTGTTTGGGTCTGTGGGTGCTACTGTGGGGATTTGCACCGTGAAGCCTTGTAGGGGCTCTTTGATTTGTACGAGATGGAGAAGCCTGGCAGCAAGACGGTGAGGTTTGAAGCGTTTGTCCTTGACGTCGGGGAGATACAAGTTGTTGGAATCAGGCGAGTCTTCGACGTAGCTTTGCTGCATATTGGGTTTTAGAGCCAGGAATGGAACTTTCTTTAGGGAGGCATTCAGAACATGCGAGGTTGATTCGTAGAAAGGTTGGCAAGTGTAGGGCCAAGTCTGGTGTTGAAAGGTATTGGTAAGTCATGAGCCCAGGTCTGATGAGATTGGATGCTCATGCAGGTGGCGTTGGCTGACAAGGCCGCCGTAATCAGTGGCAGCTTCTGGGGGACATCAACGCGCTATCGTCCAGGCATCAAAAAAGCTTGGCCGGATGCCACGGATACGTTCCCAGTGATCGTTCTGAGCAAGGGTGAAGCCTTGTGGCAACATTCCAGAGATCACTGTTGTGCGGGCGGAAGCTGGCGATGAATCGACAGTTCAGGTCAAGGACCTCAGCTGGTCATTGATGCCGACCCCAAGGTGATTTTGCAGATCTTGCCCTGTGGAAGGCGTGAGTTGCTGACTGCACAGGAGATATGGGTTTGATGTCGGTTTGAAGGAACCCAGAATGGCGGAATGAGACAGCCAAAGAAACGGCAAGGTAGATTCGAGATTTGGGAACGGAAAACGGAGAAAAAGGGTAGTGTAGGGGTAGACACATTGGTGTCTTGTGCAGGGCGACTATACGCGCATTTGGAAGGTGTGGTGTCCGGGCTTTCCGGCATGCAGACTTCCAAGGGGAAAGGAAGTCAACGCCAAAGAATGTCAGGTTTCTGGAGAGATCTTAGTTTCAAGTGGTGGTTAGATTGGGTGGACCTCGGTTTGTCAATTACACAGTTGAGGAGCTTTGCATCATCGATAGCAGTGGCCGCTCGGTCAAAGTGATCGCGCAAGCGACGGCAACCACGGGACCCAAACGCGCCACCAGAGCCAGCCCAGTGGCAAAAGTGCCACGCCTGCCACACAAAGTGAAGGTCGATGTCACCAAGTGCCACGCGTGCCACACAGAATGGAAGTCAATGCCATGCCTGCCATACAAACAGCCGGGGCGAGAACCTCCAGGCGCGGGGGTGGAACGAATAGACGGCCGAAGGGAAGAAACTGTCTGGTGGAAGACACAGTTGTTGGCAGCCACGATGAGGGAGGAACACAAAGTGCCCAGCTGCAGACATTCATGAGGTCATATTGTTGTGTACGTGATATGACTTTGGAAGTATCCATCTATTTACACTCTGGTAAACTAACGTCCCTTAAATTAAACAACTTATACAAAACATATATACGTATTTTCCAGGTTAGTTTTGCTGTAAAATGGTATTATCCCGGGAAAAATGGATAGCTATGTTAACATCGTCCTTTTTTGATAAATCTATGTTATACGTGTGGTGGAGAACACATTCATATCCATGTTAGTGGGCTTCCTTCTATGTTGGAAACCTCAAGTGCTGTATAGTGATAGCTATGTTAGTGGGCTTCTTTCCATGTTGGAAACCTTGCGTGCTGTAAAATGATAGCTATATTAGCGGGCCTCCTTCTATGTTGGAAACCTTGAGTGCTGTAAAATGATAGCTATGTTAGTGGGTTCCTGTTCAAACTTTTTCTTACTTGTTTATTGTTGATGCTGTCCAATAGCTAAGGGTCTGTGGGGAACATGCTAGTCTAGCAGCCTATTCTGGTAGCTCGGTGTGCTTTGTAAAATTTGAAACTGCAACTACGTTTGTTTGCCGGAGAGTACTGAACATGATTCGAGAGAAAAGAAGCAGAGAATGTTCTCAGTGGTCAGTCTTCAAAAGTTGTGTAGGTAGAAAGGCCTACACACCCATGCAACGGCCTGTTCTGCCGCTTCTCGCCAGGATGGTTTCAAACTGGCAATGTAGTATGTTCAACGGTTGCGGAAGAAGAAGGCATCTGATCGCAATGTGCTTTGGCTATTTGATGCCAGTTACCTGATGTGACTCAATGAAGAGATCCACAGCACAGTGATCGCCACAGAGTTGGACGCCCCAGATCCATAGGCGGCAGATCTCGTTGGGGTCGGGCCGAAAAGTTGTGAGTGTGATTGTAAATGGAGAGGACGCAGAATCATCCTCGGTTGTTTGAAAGAGGGTCCCGGCCACATCGGATGAGCAATGGGCGCCTTGATTTCGGATTCTCTTGCCAGGAAGACAGCTGTTGAGTGCCGAGCTGAAGAAAGACGGAGATGAGAGGGATAGAGTAGTGACAGCTGATGTCAAGGCCCAAGTAGCAAGGTTTCGTTCGGGTGGAACTGACGCAACTCAGAGGTTTGAGAAACTGTTTTTAACATGGCCTTTGGGCGGTGAGCCGTCGGCCTTTATTCGGAGGTTTGGACCGCCCTGCCAAGAAAGTACTATAGGGTTCCAAGTTGGCACAAGAGTTACGTGATAGGGACGGCAGATGGAGAAGACACATCATCATTGGAGGACGATGCAAAGATCTTGGCGATCTTGGCAGGACGGAAGAGGAGAAGGTCGCTTTCTGAGCGCACGCTGCAGTGAGATTCTCCGGATGCATTGGGAAGCGAGCCAAAATAAAAGGAGCTTCAGATGATCGTCGGTGGTTTTTCTGGTTGTAAGAGCCAGCGCACATAAAATTGCAACCATTTGCTTGACAAGTGCAAAGCTAGTGTCTAGATAATTCCAATTGCCAGGCTTGTGGTTGAGATATTGAACTAGTTTTGGTGGAGTAAAGCCAACTCCTGCTGGAAATCCATGGGGGTTGAACTGGATGCACCCATGTGAGTGTATGGGGGCAAGACAATGACCTAGACATATATCCGGAGACAATGGAGGAGCAGGCGCTGAAGCCAGTAGCGGAAGCATGATGGAGACCTGCATGGCTTAGGTTAGTTTTTGTGAGACTCAAAGCTCGCAGGGTTATTGGCCTAGGAGGAGAGAATGAAAAAACAGGCAGGCAAGACAAGCGTTCTCAACTCCAGAGTGAGGGATTTGGTTCGTTCTATCCAAAGTTTTGGGAGATACAACGGGCGTTGAAGGCACTGAATGGGTGAGATTGATGCTTGAGCGCTCCAAAAATGTTAGTTAGCCTTTGGCCCAAGGTGTCAGAGTTGGAAGTGTCATATCTCGTTTTGTTCCAGGCATGACTGTTGCACTGCTGACGTGTGTCACCGGGGGTGCGCTTGCAGCTGGGTTGGCTGCGCGTGATGCGACAGCATTGGACAGCTGCAATGGAACAGGCGACAAGGGGATTGGAGGGAAAGGATAGTGCAGTTGGGGGAAGGGTGTGAGAGATGAGAGTTCAAGACATCGCAGGGTCATGGCATGCAGACCTTGCAAGATTTCTGCCTTGACGGATCAGCCAGGAAGCTGGATTTCCGTTCGCTTTGCTGGTGGAGGAGGAGACGTGGTTGCAGCGCTCCTGCAGGGCGAGGAGGGCCAGCGGTAGGCTTGTGGCTGGCGGAGCGCTTCACGCTGAGGGATCTCAGGATGCTGATGGGTCAATATCCTGATGTTGGTGATTCTGGTTGGGTTACTGTGGGTTCATGGGCTCGCTGGACCCTGGACCCTTGTGCTTGCTTGGTCATTATGATCGCAGGCCTGTGGAAGTGCAGAGAGTGGAGCCCAATCCCATGGTGGAGCGTGCCTTTGTGATCCAGTTTGGAGCAAGCAGGGGAAGCTGGAAAGATTCCAGGTACAGAGCATGCTGGAGTCGTGGGCATGCTTTGGTTTGAGTTGGGCCTGGTTTGAATGCTGGAGGGTAACATGAAATTTGTGGGCCAACCCAACCACTTGTATGCGGCCGGATGTATAGCTGTTTGCAACAGAAATGCATGAGAAGGGTAGGCAGGGTTACGAATCGAGTCCTTGGGTGAGTGTCCACGGCTGTGGGGTCGTGCAGGGAGCATGGCGCCGAGTTCTGGCGTGCCATTGGGGCAGGGATCGCGCATTCGCGCAGATTGCCGCATGATGGCGCAGGCGCTGAGTCGCTTTGGGGCGCGTGTTGAGAGCGCCGGGCATCGTTTGAAGTTCCTGGACGAGGAAGAGAAGGTGAAGGAGCAGCAAGTGCCTGGGCGAGCAGGTTAAGTAGGTGAGAAGGATGGGCGACCATGTTGTATTGGGGACATTGACCTTCAGGGAAACCTGTAAGATGCTGTTGGGGTAAGAGCTGATGAAGGGAATTCAGCTTGGTTAGCGCGGAATTACTGGCCCAGCTCGAACTGCAGTGTCGAGAGCTCATGCAAGACGTGAACTTGGCCAGGTACAGCAGTGATGGCAGAGCGCGACCATTCGGCGGCCTCAACGTTATCTTACCTAACGATCTCTACCAGTTGCCTCTTCCAAAAGGCACTTTCTTGGGCGATATTCCGTGGGAACTAGTGGCCGGGCGAAAAGCAACCAAGCAAGCCACGGCCTTGCACGGGCAAACGCTCTTGTGGGGAGGACCGGACGCAGGCATGCAAGGTGTGACGGAATTGGTTCTGTGTGAACGCACGTCTGACTGCAAAGGGCGCAGGAGGTTTTAAGGGCAGCCTACTGCCCAACATCGCTTTCTGAAGCCAGTAGAAACCTTCCTGAAGGCGCCTGGCAAATTGCCAAAGTGCTGCTGAAGGCGACCTGCATGGTCCCAAAGGGCTGCAAAGGGCGCCGGAGGGGGGGTTAAAGCCAAGCTAGTGCCTAACGTCGCTTTCTGAAGCTAGTGGAAAACCTTTCTAAAGGTGCCCGGCAGATCGCCAAAATGCTGCTCTGAAGGCGCCCCGGCATGATCCGAAGGGCTGGAAACAGATGGCCACAGTGCCAATTACTTGCGCCCGCCTGGCAAGTGCCTAATGCTTTCTGAACCATTAGAAAACCTTTCTGAAGGCGCCCGGCAGATGGCCAAAGTGCTGCTCAGGGCGACCGGCATGGTCCAAAAAGGCTGCAAAAGGCGCCGGGGGGTTTAAGGGCAGCCTACTGCCTAACGTTGCTTTCTGCGATGGTCAAAGTGCTGCTCAGGGCACTGAGAACGGTTTAAGGGCAGCCTACTGCCTAACGCTGCTTTCTGAAGCCACTGGAAAACCAAGGCCATGGCCAAAGCTGCTGAAGGAGGACCGGGATGCTGCCTGCTGAATGGATGGCCAAAGCTGCTGCGGAAGGTATCAGGCCTAGAACCCAGAGAGTAGAACACCAGGTGTGGGGGGAAGCCCTGTACCTCTTTTCCTCTGATGCGCTCCCCCTGCTGCTGCTGGGGTCGGCATGGTCGGCGGATATATAACTTGTATATATATATATATATATTATATATACATAATTATATATAATAATAATGTATATACATACATATATATATATATATTATTATGTGTGTGTATATATATAGGTATATCATGTGTATATATACATTTTATGTTTGTGTATATATATATATTATGTATATATATATATAGATATTTAATATATATATACAGATATATTCATTACCACCTATTATATTCCCAGTATGTTCCCACATGCCACACCCCCAAAATATCAAGTAGTTTATGCAGATCCAACGGTCATCGATACTTTATGTATCCCCAAATTATTTATTGATCTGTTAGTTCGTCCTTAATATCCCATATCCAGTCGACTATTTTTCGATTTCAAAAAAATGTTCAGCCCTCAATTGCCCAAGACTAGTTATAGCCAATAGCTATTAACCATTCAAAAGTTATTGTCATAGTAATGCTGATGCTATCCTACCCAATATTTGTTCACCAGTTGGTCTAATCCAGTACATTATCTATGGCCTTGATATACTATTAAATATAACTATATCATAACTTTCTACTTCAGTAGATTGTACTTCAGTAGATTTGTTATTGTATCCATACTGAGTAGTGGAAATTATCCCCAAGGAATGGCCAGCCAGTATTTATTTGCATGGGAATTCTCAGTATGAGGACATGGCATCTTTTATGCCTCAGTAGAATAGACCTCAGAAGATTATACCTCAGTAGATTGTTAGTATAAGCACGGTAAATAAATAAATAAATATATATATATACACCATAGATATACAAAATATCCCCTGATATCTACCTCAGTTCAAAACCCCCAATTTCCCACGTGGCCGTTGTGGCCGAGGCACCACCGCCTCCATGAGCGCGCGCTTGGCCAAAGTCTTCGCCACGCTGACGCCCATGAGGATGGCGGAGTACCATCGGCAGCTGGCGAGGATTGGGGTGGCACGGGTCGGGAAGCCCAAGGGATGGGCCCAGGCTGGGGAGATGACAGATGGTGAATTCTATGGTTTATGGATGTTTATAATGGGGTTTTTGAAAAACACAGACGGAACAATACAGGTTCCATGTTAGATTTCAGGTTAAAAACCGTTGCTTTTTGTGAAGATCTTTCGGCTTAGCCTGTTGGTGAGTACGTATGTTTTTTCCCAATGCCCGCTGCACAGCATGGCTATGTGGATCCATCATTTGCTGACAAAGGTGCAACGGATGAAACTGATGAGGTCGACCTTCAGGTGCTGTGCTTGGGTGGAGAAGCAGTGGCATTAAGCGTCCCTCGCTCTATGCTTGGGTACGACCTGCGCAGGTTGGTGTCAGAGAAACTTCCATGCAAGCCTGGCGCAAAGCTCGCCGTGCATCACATGAATCGAAAACTAACCTTTGATCAAACTTTGAGAGAGCAAGAAATTGTTGGAAAATCGGCAATGCTGTCCTGCACATACATACCCACAAATGTGTGCACTGCATGGAATTATGTATGTGGGTTCCCAACTTGTGAGAGAGAGTTTGCGCTGGAAGGTGTTACGCAACTTGAGGGAGCAACGAGTGGAGACTATTTACATCATTTGCCCCTCAGACTTGCAAGATTGAGTTTTGACCATAGTTTCAACCAAAGCCTGGAGCAGGTCACCTTGCCATCGAGTCTTCAAGACTTGAGTTTTGGCGCGAATTTCAACCAAAACCTTGAACAGGTGACCTTGCCATCGAGCCTTCAAAACTTGAGTTTCGGCTGGAAATTCAACCAAAGCCTGGAGCGGGTGACCTTGCCGTCGAGTCTTCAAAGCTTGAGTTTGGGCGGCTTCAACCACAGCCTGGAGCATGTGACCCTGCCGTTGAGTCTTCAAAGCTTGAGTTTTGGCTGGGAGTTCAACCAAAGCCTGGAGCGGGTGACCTTGCCATCGAGTCTTCAAAGCTTGGTTTTTGGTAGGATTTTTAACCAAAGCCTGGAGCGCGTGACCTTGCCATCGAGTCTCCAAAGCTTGAGTTTTGGTGATGATTTCAGCCAAAGCCTGGAGCGGGTGACCCTGCCATCGAGTCTTCAAAACTTGCGTTTTGGCGATCAGTTCAACCAAAGCCTGGAGCGGGTGACCTTGCCATCGAGTCTTCAAAACTTGAGTTTTGGCGATTGGTTCAACCAAAGCCTGGAGCGGGTGACCTTGCCATCGAGTCTTCAAAGCTTGAGTTTTGGCTTTAAATTCAACCAAAACCTGGAGCGGGTGACCTTGCCATCAAGTCTCCAAAGCTTGAGTTTTGGCTATAAATTCAACCAAAGCCTGGAGCGGGTGACCTTGCCATCGAGTCTTCAAAACTTGAGTTTTGGCGAGGAGTTCAACCAAAGCCTGGAGCGGGTGACCTTGCCATCGAGCCTTCAAAGCTTGCGTTTTGATGAGAATTCCAGCCAAAGCCTGGAACTTGTGACCTTGCCATCGAGCCTTCAAAGCTTGAGTTTGGCTTTAAATTCAACCAAAGCCCGGAGCGGGTGACCTTGCCATCGAGTCGTCAAGGTTTGCTTTTCGGCGATCGGTTCAACCAAAGCCTGGAGCGGGTGACCTTGCCATCGAGTCTTCAAAACTTGAGTTTTGGCGAGGATTTCAACCAAAGCTTGGAACGTGTGACCTTGCCATCGAGCCTTCAAAGCTTGAGTTTTGGCTTTAAATTCAACCAAAGCCTGGAGCGGGTGACCTTGCCATCGAGTCTTCAAAGCTTGAGTTTTGGCCGTAAATTCAACCAAAGCCTGGAGCGGGTGACCTTGCCATCGAGTCTTCAAAGCTTGAGTTTTGGCTGGGAGTTCAACCAAAGCCTGGAGCGGGTGACCTTGCCATCGAGTCTTCAAAGCTTGGTTTTTGGTAGGGTTTTTAACGAAAGCCTGGAGCGCGTGACCTTGCCATCGAGTCTTCAAAGCTTGAGTTTTGGTGATGATTTCAACCAAAGCCTGGAGCGGGTGACCTTGCCATCAAGTCTCCAAAGCTTGAGTTTTGGCTATAAATTCAACCAAAGCCTGGAGCGGGTGACCTTGCCATCAAGCCTCCAAAGCTTGAGTTTTGGCCATGATTTCAGCCAAAGCCTGGAAGGGGTGACCCTGCCATCGAGTCTTCAAAACTTGCGTTTTGGCGATCAGTTCAACCAAAGCCTGGAGCGGGTGACCTTGCCATCGAGTCTTCAAAGCTTGCGTTTTGGCGATCAGTTCAACCAAAGCCTGGAGCGGGTGACCTTGCCATCGAGTCTTCAAAGCTTGAGTTTTGGCCGTAAATTCAACCAAAGCCTGGAGCGGGTGACCTTGCCATCGAGTCTTCAAAGCTTCAGTGCTCCCCATTTTTCAAGTTTGATCTCTGTCAGTTCCGCCGGCTGTGTTTCATTTGTTTGACATATTTGCGAACATACAATCCCACATGTTGTTTTCGAGCAAAAGAGGCTTGACCAGGGATGTGTGAGGCGACCCCGGGTGCGCAAGGCGACCCGAACCAGTTCTTTTTGAGCAGGTAGTCGACCCATCTGTGGGCAGTCAGAACCCTTTTGTAGAAATACATTTCCTCGACTTGATGGACTTTTTGAGGGATCACCCAAACGTCGCGCACACAAAATTTGAAGACGGGTTGATGTTGATTCCGATTCGCCGTGGAACAAAAGTAGAAGGTCTGAGGACAGAAAGGTTACAGTATATATATTTTTGGAGCAGACCTAAGAAGGTCGACCCTTGATAAACAAATGCCATGTTGGCACTTCTGCTCAACGTATATGTATATATATATATATAATCATATATATATATATCTAATTATATATGCATATAATTATACATATATATATATATATACAATGCCATTTGGGGTTTGCATTTTATTTTGTAGCAGGTCAACTGGCATCTTTTTATGAACCACCTAGGTTGTGTCAACCCAGGTCGTAGCTACAGATTGTTTGCACAACGTCAAGGCCCAAATCTTAACAGGGATGTGGAATCCATATTATATAGTTGGTAGATATCTTATATACTTATACAGTAGTGCAGCAATGCATGTCACATATTGTATATATATATATATTGTATATGGACAGATTCATAGATAGATAGATGAATAGGTAGATAGATAGACAGCTAGATAGTATACCCCATTATACCCCTGCACTGTTTATTTTTGATTGGTCCTTCCTCTCTTTTCAGACCCAATATTTGAAGTACGACCTGTTGCAAGATGGTCGATGGCATTGCTTCAACCTGAATTCCCTGCAAGCCGAACTAGGAATCTTAATCAAACATGGCGGTTAACCAACACAAATGAAGGACAGAAGAAACACAAAACGGATATACCATACTACGATCAACACATTGGTATACAATGAAGGAAAGGAATACAAGTGACCGAACCGGAACACTGGGAGTGACAGAAACAAGCAGTTGGATGTAGCGAGACATTCTAACGGACACGGGGCGATGGCCAAAATTTGTGGGTTGTCATATGTCCTCCAACTATGATTACCCTCTGGTAATTTAACATAACTATGGAAAATCACCATTTTCAATGGGAACATCCACTATAAATGGCCATTTTCAATAGCTACGTTAAATTACCAGAGGGTAATATGGAGTTCTCCATATTGCCGTCATTGCGGTGAAACGTGGCAATCGGACATCCCTCATTTACTTCGATGAGTTTCCCATAAAGCCTGCGGCACGAGGAAGACTCTTAGGTTGCACCATGGCCCAGATTGGAACAGGGTCAACTCGTAGTATTTTGCTGAATATGCCATCAAATTCCATTCGAGTATATGAAAGTTGGTGATCTATGCCATTAAACCCCATGAAAGCTCATTTAAGTATATGAAAGCTGATTACATATCCCATTTAAAATCCATTGAGTTTCCATCCTTTCCAGGTGCGCCGTGACTTCCGGCAGCACCTGGCTGCCTTGCAGCGGAACCTGGAGCGATGGGATGTGATGAAAACAACAACTTCCCTATATGATAATACCGTTTCACATTATTCAGTTGTTTCAGGATATTATATTATTCATATTTATTTCACATAGTTTTACGTAGGGAAGTGCTACTTTAGATGGGGGAACATGCATCCAAGTCTTGCAAACAAGATAGAACAAAAAAGGTTTGAAACCTGTGTCAAAATATGGTTTTCCGCAGAATTCGATGCCGATTCACTTTTCTGTCGTTTTGGGTATGACTGCAATTTTTACCTGCAGCTGATACCTTGCATGGCAACTCATATCCAAAATTGATTGAATCATTGATGCCCCCTTTTTTTCTCTGGCATGATCCTAGTATATCCTCAGTATATCCTCGTATATCCTAACCATAAAGTCGAATCGAACAACGGCTGCTGTGAGCCGCTTAACCAACCAACCGAACAGGAGACCAGTCACGGGGTTCATACTTTGTTCATCGATGCACGGGATCCGATAGGAGGCTATGGCGCAGAGCGACTGCGCCTTGAGTGCTGCCGTCCTGGGGCACCTACGGGAGGCGAAGCCGGTTTTTGCTTGGATAGATAATATCGGGGAATGATCTATATATATATACACATGTAAATATATATATATATACAGTATATATATATATTTAGTATATATATATATGTATGTGTTATTGGGACACACACACACATATATATAATTAGATATATTATCAAGTTATCTGAAATTTATTGATACGTATATGTATATGTGTATATATATATAGATGTTGAGTAATTGATATGGAATACAATGGTGAATTGATTGATATTGACTTGATACATTATTGGTGGTATTTGGTTGTGTATTATTAGGATAAATTATTGATATGTAAAACTCATTTGTCATTTTTCCATTGCCAGGTCAAATTTACCAGAAGATAACCAATGAACCGAACAAACATGGTGAGTCCTGGATTCCCAATATGAGGGCAAGTTAGACCGGGGGTGATGACTACCATTCGATCATTCCTGCGGTTGCGCTAGGCTTATGCCATAAAAATTAGAGGGTGCATCATGATGGATTCACATACTCTAACAGTACACAATTCTTTGTAATGCTTATTGTAAAACACTCGGGTTGAAATCTCCTACCCGAATCATGATTGACATCCCCTAGATTTCCCAAGTCGGCTTTTGGCCTTTGCGCCATTCTCAAGTTGCTGGTGTTCAGTCATCCCGAAGTTGGGGGCTTTTGGCGCTGCCATTTTTGCAGTACCCAATTGGTACATACGCTTAAAGAGATGTCTCCCACTGGGTGAATTTCAAAAATTGTGATAAGTGCGGGACCTACTGATTGCCCATGAGAATTCACTGTTGGGAAATTTCTCGTTTTTTGTCCAATTTGTTGGGATCCTCCAAAGTCGGTGGTTGCCACTTGCAGGAATTCAGATGAATTTGGGCGGTTCCCCCTCTTTCCCCTGGAAACACACGTGCATGTTGCTGGAGATTGTGCAATCCATAGGCCAGGGGTGATATTTTAGCCAATGGGCCAGCGGATCAGCATCCCTTTTGTGAAGGTGGAACAGTTCATGACTGCTATCTACCGTTTTTTCAAGTGTGTGGACATCAATGGGCAAGGTGCCTGCGCAAAAATCGGTCATGCCTGTGGGCCGTGGGTGAACATCTCAAGAATGAACAGATTACCAAGGGATGTGAGTGACTACCTTCTTGTAGGATCATCCCATTTAGTGTATAGTGGCTTAGGAAGGCTTCTTAGTTATCACCCATTTACATAGGATAACCCAACTTGGAGGACTCACCAACCAGGATTCTTTCCGAGAACAAGGGGATGGCCGATTTCGTCAATTTTCAGAATTGAGCAATGTTCAAAACCCCCGGTTGGTTGATGGTTGATGATTGCATGCGGTTGTACTACCCATATATACGCATATACATACATGCGCATTGGGGCAAGTATTGTGCATATATATATATGTATATAGATAGTGGAATGACCGAGGGTTCCAACAGTGCCCAATTCACCATCCAAGTATTGACCCATGCCCATACCTTGACCAATGCCGGTGGACCATCCTGCTGCTTTAGCTTTGGTGCTCAAAACCACTTGATCAACCCGACTCATTTCTCTTCAATGATCCCATGGGTGTACTGCTACTAGCAATGCTTGGTTATAGAGAATATATATATATACATACAGCACATATTATGACTTATTTAATTCCTACACATATATCCACATCCTCCGCTGGTGCCTTTCTTTGGTCTCCAATTTGAACCCATTGTCC